GAAATAAAGGTTAAACCTTTTAATTAAAAGAATTTAACTAATTTATAAAACTATTTAAATGCCTTTTTAATACCTACTATTTTATTACAAGGTTAAAAATACCCAACTTTAAATATTTCCCTTTATTTAATTAAGCAAGTATATTTTACGCTATTAAATTTAAAATAACTATATACCAACAAATGGAATTAAGGTATAAAAGAAGGGGTAAGGTATTTTTAAATTATTTTTATATTTTATCATATATTAATATTATATTTAAATTCATTTATATCCTTATGCTTTAAGCTTTAAAAAAGCTATTAAAGCAGGTTTAAATAAATTAAACAAATATTTTCCTTATAATTTTATCTAGCAACATAAAGATATATTATAATTTAAAGCATATTTATTTACTATGCTATTCAACCCTTGCTATAATTTATAAAATACATAAAAGGAGTTAAATTTAATTAATTTCCATATCAATACTTTAATTAAATTAATAATAAAAGAAGCTTTAAAGTAAGTAAATTTAATATATTATTTTAAAATAATTATATATTTATATTAACTTTTATATAAATTATATAAAACTATATATAAAGATAAAGGAAAAGAATTAAAATTACCTTTATAATCTTTAATTAATATTTATATTAATTTAACAACTTTTATATAATCTTTACCTAAAAAACCATTAAGAAAAAAAAAAGAAATTAAGGCTTATAACTCTTTATTTCCTAATAATTTAAACAAAGATATTGAAAGAAATATTAAAATGGAAATTAAGGATTATTTTAAAAAGCCTATAAAGCTAGGAACTATAAGTTTATATTTATATATTTATATATTTATATATTTATATATTTATATATTTATATATTTATATATTTATATTTATATATTTATATATTTATATATTTATATATTTATATATTTATATATTTATATATTTATATATTATATTATAAATTTATATAGTTAAATATATTTAAATGGTGGGATTTAAATAAATTTATTTATCTTATTTTATTAATTATAGCTACCCAGTATTTATTAATACTAGCTATATTAACAGCAATAAAAGGGAATTTTAATAATGGAATAAATATAATAATAAAACGGCGTATAAGGTTATAAAATATTACTTAAAAACAATTATTAATTTTAAAATATAATGCTATTAATAATACTAAAGAAAAAAAACCTATAAAGATTAAGGAATATTTTAATTTAAAAGCAATTTCAGATAATAATATAATAGAAATAAATATTAATAAAGGAAAGGATAGTAGTATTTAGTTAGTTATTTAGTTATTTAGTTATTTAATTATTTAGTTATTTAGTTATTTAGTTATTTAGTTATTTAGTTATTTAGTTATTTAGTTATTTAGTTATTTAGTTATTTAGTTATTTAGTTATTTAGTTATTTAGTTATTTAATTATTTAGTTATTTAATTATTTAAAAAATAAGTATTTACAAGGCTTATTTAGGCTTAATATATATTATAACTAGTTATTTTAAAAACTAGCATTTACAGGGCTTAAATAGGCTTAAAATGCCCTGTATTTGCTAATAAAAAACGAGTATTTACAGGGCTTAAATAAGCCCCGTATATATTATAACTAGTTATTTTAAAAACTAGCATTTACAGGGCCTAAATAGGCTTAAAATGCCCTGTATTTGCTAATAAAAAACAAGTATTTACAGGGCTTAAATAAGCCTAATGACTTTAATAATAAAATATAACATAACATTTTTAAACAATTTAATAAATATATAAGAATAGTACTTTTCTATAGTAAAAAAATTTATTATTATTATATAATTATATTATTTAATTTTAAGCTTATAAGTTTAAGATAAAAGTAAATTATTAAATAATATTTCCTTTTCTAGAGAGAAAGTATATTATCCTTTATTTTTTATTAAATAATATAAAAAAAGAGCTTTTTAAATATACTATTTTTATAAGTATAGCTTTAAAACCTATAGAGATATTAATAATTATATAAAGGTGGTTACGCTAAGGATAGGGGGGCAATAAGGGGTAGCATTAAGTTATTTTCTAATTAGCCCAATTTATTTATTTATCTTCTAATTAATCTAATATATAAGGCAATTACCTATTTAGGAATTGCTACTAAAGAGTAATTAACACAAATAATATATTATATAAATTATTATTTTTTTTAAAAAAAAGGTTTAAAGTTTATAAAACTTTTATCTTTTTAATAAAATTATATATATTAAAAATATATATATTTTTAAAAAGCTAGAATTTTGCTTAATAAGACTATTATAAATAATATTATATATATAGCTAATATACCTAGTATTTATATAAATTATATTAATATATAATATATAATATATTTAAGTTTAAATTATAAGGAATTTAATAATATAAAAGATTTATATATTTTTATAATCCTTTAATTTTATGTATTTTTATACTATTTAATATATATTTTAAATATAAATACTAAGCTATAAAATACTACTATACTCTTACTTTTATATACTCTTTAAGAAAATGAATTCCAGGGTTTAAGATAATAAATACATAAAGATTCTATAATTCAATAATTAAAATACTTTAATAAAGAGAAACCTAAGTTCAATTCCTAGTAAAAGCATTATTATAAATCATTTTAAACTCTTTTATTATTTTTATTTATTTATTTATTTTAAATATTTACTTATTTACTTATTTTTTTAATTATTTACTTAATTAAATACTTAGTTATTTAATTATTTAATCTTTTAATTATTTAATTAATTATTTATTTAGCTATTTAATTAATTAATTAATTAGTTAATTTAAAAATTTATTAAATATATAAAATATTATAATTATATTTTTATATTTATATTTATATTTTATATTTAAAACATAAAATATAAATTTAAAATTTAAAAAATATAAACATAAATATAAATATAAATATAAAATATAAGGCTTCCTAAAATATAAATACAAATACAAATACAGTATTTAAATATAAATACAAATATATATATTTTTATATTTTGTATTTTAAAATACAAAATACATAAATATTATCACAACTCTGAAATAAAAGATTAATTCTTTTAAGAAAGGTTTTAAGAAAGGTATTATTATAATATAATAATTTAAATTATTAAATTATAATGGAGAAATCTTTAAGGTTTTTCTAGGTTATTTATTTATTAAGCTATGGTGGATCATTATAATATAGTGGTATGTTATAAGCTTAATATATATTGCACCCTTTTTATTATATATATTAATAAATAGCTAGGCAGGGTTAACACTTAGTTTAAATATATAACTTATAAGTATATATATAAACCAAACTACATTAAAACTTTTAATATTAATGGCTATTATTTATGCTAAATCCCGCACATTTCTTTAAATTAAACTTTATTATTAATACACTTCTAGCAACTCTGCTTTATAACCAGTTTCCTAGAAACCGTTTTAATACTAAATGAAAACGGGAAAAATAACCATAATACACAAGAAGAGCATAATTGTAATTATAATATAAAGCAACAATAGATTTTACCGCTAAACCATTGGCGCTCTTATTTGGTGACATTCGTCCAAGTGAGGTGTATCTAAAGCATAGGTTGAAAGTGGAGACATGTAGAGCAATAAAGCGTACACATTTAACATCGCTAACTGTTGCTTTGAGCCAGAGGCCTGCTGATGTTCTGCTAGGATTAAGATAAATCCAGGCTAGGAGAACAACATCTCATAGGCCCTGATGGCCGCACGAAACGACTGTGCTTGTAGACCGTTGTGAAAATAAAAATAAACTACTGCTTTCGAGGTCCAGAAGTGCCCGTTTCAGTACTTGAAAACGGAGTCGCACACTTGACCCCATTCATGTCGATGCTTTGGGCGGACATCAGCGGTACGCGAGGGGGAGCTTTAGCTGACTGGTATAACTAATCCCTGGCCAGTGAGCTAGTGGGACTGGAGCCGCTGTGTCTGTCAAGCAATGGAGAGGAACGCTGTCGAAGTGGTGGTATATACGACTGTTCTCGAGTGCCAGCCGTGAAGAATGGAGATAGGGGGCAATAAAGCTGCCACCCTCTTCTTGAGCGATGCTACAAGGCCGATGCTACCACTTGACCATACCCAATATACTGTTGGTCGGAGGTGGACGTATGTTAACATAGATGGGTAAAAAAGCAAGACATGGTACCTGACCACTTGGATCCTAGCAGCCTTCACTTGTCAGTATGTCACGTACATGCACATAGAAAATCCAGTCAGGATATGCCCTGGTAGAATCAGAGGCGGCGATGAGAATGTGCTGACAAAAAGGGTCGACAGACCAAGGAAATGCTTCATGATATCTCGTCACCGAGGAGATCCGACCGGGGTATAATATATACACGTCAACTCCACACATGTTCCAGACAGGAAAAGGAAAAATGAATCCCAGGCAGCAGTGACAGACGACGGGACCGGATTGGCCCGGCGTCCGTCCTCTGCGTGCTCCCAAACAGCCCTAGACCGCCGCCTGAGGAGAGGCAAGACGGTTCGCACGTAGCATGCAAGGCAAAGGTCATGCGATGTCACAAGCAGACCTTCACTCAAAGCAACCAGGATTGCAACATATCAGAGACTCCCCCAGGGCTGGCTGGCCCGAGGCTGGGGGAGATTCCCCTCCGTGTCCAAACACGGAGGCAGTAACAAGAACACCAACGAGACCTAGCTTATAAATGCCCTAGAACGCTTCGCAGCTCTGAAAAAGAACAAGAAAGATAAGACCCATCTCCCACCCATGACATATTCGAGAACACGCTTCTTCAATGCTTGTCGCTCAATTGAAAATGGTCATCCTGACCAAGACCCATCATCCCATCCATGTGTAACGCCTAAAAAGCGGAACTCGCGTCCCTGCTGTTTTGTTGTACCCCTGATTTTCTTGTTTCTTTTTTCTTTTCTGACACCAAGCCCGTCGGGGCTGGAGGGTATAGATCACTGTGTGGGTAGATTTGTTGCCTCATGATCTCACAGGTATATGTCGCCGTCGATGCCTGCGACCCATCTCCTCCAGGCTTCTTTGTAAGCCTCCTCAAGGTCAGACACCCAGCGACGGGTGTTGAAAAGTGCGCAGTTCCATTTGCTTCCGAACAAGAGTTTCCGCAACTCCCAGAGGCGTCCCTCTGCCTCGCCATAGCCGCCCTCGGCCATGTGATACGAGATGCCGTTGGCCAGCACGATGGCCTTCTTCTCATAGTCGTCGTCATCTTCGGCGACCAGCTCCACGGCAGCCTGGTCGCCGGCAGCATTCTTGGGCAACGCGCCCTTGAGAATGGAGGCGGCCATGCGTGAGCACATTTTGTAGTCGTACCTCGGTAACGTGAGCAGTGGGGTGCTGGACCAGAGAACGTCGGCTGCCGTTGTGTGCGCATTGCATTCGGGCGTGTCCAAGAAAAGGTCACAGACGCGAGCCCGTGAGATATGCATCTGCTTTGGCGCAACATCTGTGAACCTTATCCGACTGGCGACTTCGGCCCCCGCCCATTCCTCAGCAGTTTCCTTGAGCGCTCGCTCTCCGAGCTCGGGGAACTTCAGTAGCCAGAGAATAGCCTTGGGCGTGTTGGCGAGGATCCTGAGCCATGTGCGGAAGGTGGTAGGGTCGATCTATATCTTGTTAGTGGCGAGGTCATACTTATCGACGGCGCAAAGGGCATTAGCGTTGACTGACCTTGTAGAGTTGATTGAAGTTGCCCAGGATGATCATGTCATCCGGGAGGTCCGGGAAGATCTCCTTGCGCATTTTCCACCTCCGCCGTTGCTCTTCTTCCCAAGTCACTGTTCGCTCGGCAGCATCTGCAGATTGTCTGTGGTCGCAGCAGAAGAACGTGTCCCTGCAGAATATGATGTTCTCGGAGTACACCCAATCCTCGGCGTCGCCTTCGGCGTCGTCACGAAATACGTCCGTAAGCGAAAGGTTGCCCCTCCATGGCCTCAGCGTTTCAGGAGGAATGGCCGTAGTGTCTGCCAGAAGATAATCGCACCACTCAGCTCCGAGCGTACCAGCAAAGCCCATGAAAGACATCTGTATGGGAGCCGGACGTGCGGCAAATATCTCGTTGCGGGCACCCCTTGTATACCCGTTCAGGTTGACGAGGATATGAATGCCATCCCCAACAATTCGCTCTATCACCTTGTCGGAAGACCAACTGCTGACGTCACGGAACACGGGAGCCTCCCTTTCGATTTGTTGACGATGTGCTGATCCGTCACTGGCGGTTGTTGCATAGCAAAATGCTTTCGCGCGAGTCTGATCATGGAATCCAAACACAGACTGCATGAGATGCGCCAGAGGATGGTTGTTGAAGTCGGAGGAGACATAACCTATGTTCAGGCACGGACTCGGAGGTTTTGGAGGTCGATAGACTGAGTGTGGCAGCCATGGCGATCGTAGCGTGGAGCAAGATATTCGAAGCGCATTCCGCTGAGAGATCCTCCGCACGTCCTTGGCCGTCAAGGGGCAAGTAAAGGTGTGGAACGGCAGCACGGTCGGGGCGGATGGGACTGTGAGGTTGCTAGGAGGCCGTGTTCGGGGGTAACCGTGCGGGGACTCATATCCACGCTCGTATTTGTCCAGATACCAGTTCCGCATAGTCGCCCTGGTCGAACGCTCGATGAGTCGCAGCAGACGAGAGCCTTCCCACGGTTTGCCTGCCCAATAGCGCAGCTCAGAATCCAGATAGAGATTGGAGTCTGCCTGAGAGGCCCGAGCAGCGTCCAGCTGAGACACGATAGAGGCAAGAACGCCACAGGTGAGGGCTCCAGATCCCCAGGTGGAGGCTTCCTTGAGCTGACGGGCAACGATATCGACCACCTTCTTCATCAAGCCGGAGCCCTGCCGGGTTTCTTTAACATCGACAATCATGCCGTCGTCGCCCACATGCCATCTGTCGAACTTTCCGCCATTGAGCAATACTCCGCCGCGGCCCTTCCAGTCGCATACTGAATTCAGAGCTGTCGACAGCCCGCACACGGCCTCAGCGAATTCGGGATTCGAGTCTACAGCACGTCTGTAGTACTTGATGGCTTCTTCGATGCGACCCCGATCTTTGACAGCATTTGCTAGGTTGGTCAAAGCAATGTCGAAAGTACTGTCACACTCTACCGCTTTCTGGTACATTTGGATGGCGTAGTCGAGTTGACCAATATCCTTCAGCAAGCTTCCCAGGTTTGTGTGGAGATGTACGTGTTTCGGGTCCAGCAACAGACCGTACTGGTAGTATGCGAGGGCAAGTTCCAACCCACTTCCAGGCACAATGCCTGGTATGCGCGAAGCGTAATGTGTCGAGGCTGATGGGGACTGTGAAGCAGACTGTTGGACACTCGCAAGCAGGATGCCGACATTGTTCGCAGTGGATGGGCTCTCCTGAAGCGCGAGAGACAAATAGTACAGCGCGAGGATATCGCCCACACCGCGTGGTTGTGCCACAGGTCCTGGGCTCGACCCACCTGCAGACATCGCATCCTGAAATATTTTTGCCAGAGAGAGCAGAGAGTTGCTTGTTGTTGAAATGGCATTGTGCTTGTGCTTCCCATCGGGTACGTATCGCAGACCAGGTAACTGACCACCAGTCGATGCGAAGACCAACTCGGCGGTTCGTTTGGCCCTGTCTGGCGGCAAAAGAAGCGGTGCAGACAGATTCTTCGCGTCTAGGTGTTGTGGCCCAATCGCTCTAGGTGACAACACCAGCTGGATTCTTTTGATGAGATTCTGAATGCCACCGATGTGGCGTCCCGCACTGATCAAGACGGCTTCTTCGAATGCCTCCGAGGCGCGGTCGATGAGTTTCAGAGCGTAGAGCATGTTTCCCTTGGCGTGCACGAGGGTCAAGATTCGCCAGTTCTCGCTTGCTGGAATCTTGTAACCACTGGAGCCCCAGTCATCCTGCATCTCACTTGAGACCGACAGCTTGCGGACAGCTTGAGCGGCGTCTATGAGCGCCTCGTCGGGGTTGAGCATGTCGTTCGAGGCCGATCCTCCTGTGCCTATGCCTTTCTTCAGTTTGTTCTGCCGGTGCAAATCGTGTGACGATATGCGTAGTTTCTGTTGAACATGCTCGATGATATCCACGGCCTGCTTATTGCGGTGAGTCGAGCACAACAGACCAACCAGGTGCTCAAGTGCTTCGAGATAATCCGGTCGTAATTCGATAGCTTTTTGCCATTGTCTCTCAGCCTCATCCTGCCGGCTCAGGCAGTACAACGTCGCCGCGATGTTCGATATCGCTTCCACGTGGCTTTGTTATCTGTTAGCAGGCGGCGCCTTCGTTGTCATCCCCGAACAGGTTCGTCTGAACCAGTTCATGATGTACTCTTCCGAGTTGGATGGGCTTGGGAGGGGGTTTGCGGGTACTCACTTGGCGTTAAGATCAATGATCCTCTTAAACCACTCCAAAGCCTCCTCGTATTTTTCCAAAGCATAATGCAGGCAGCCTCCCAGAAGCATGCCATCCACCCAATTCCACTCGGACTGCTCACACAGGTTTTGAAGTATTTCTAACGAAGCCCTGGCGTTCTCAGTAGGATACTTCTGGACTAGCACGTTTCCGTAGACGTCTCCCATCATTGCAGGATGGGTGCTGATCGACCGCCCGTTAGCATCTAGCCTGGCTAAAGGAAGCATGTCGGAGGCTCGGACCATGCGGTTCATGGCGCTTGGTGCATTCAGCGGCTGTTGCAGAGCACGGTGTGCAAAGGGAGCCCCAGCGCCTGGAAACGTCTGATGTGCCCTCTGCAGGTGCGGAGTGGGCCGTGAAGCGATTTGTTTGGGGGGCCTCGGGAAGATCATGTTCTTCTGGGATCTTGAGTTCGTCTTGCCGTGTTGGACCTTTTTTACCCTGTTGAGATGATGTATGAGGTCCGTATAGGCCTTATGTCCAGTAGCCAGGACTCCCTCTTTAAACTGTACCTGAGAAGGAGCACCGCAAGTCGCAGGTGACACTGGGCCGAGCGACATGCTCTGTAGGCCTCGGTGTGAGGACTGAACCATGGACGGGAGCTGACCGTGCCGTGAGTATCCATCATCAAGCATATACGGGGGAGTCTGCATCTGCAGAGGAAGATTATGGGCATTGAAGGGAACCATGCCCAAGCCACCCTGAAGCAGCGGTGCCTGCACTGCGACGAAACCGCTTTCGTATGGGATGTTATGGGGTGGATACCCTGTTGAAGACATCTGCAAGCTTGGATGGAAGCCGGAGAAAGGCCCGTCGCCCCAGATAGGAGCTGTGTTGAACCCACCGGGCGAGAAGCTTGAAGGGCTTGGTGCTGCCTGGTTTTGGTACGTGTTCCCATAGCCGTTGCGCATGACCGGGGTCAGACTCATGGGATGCAGCTGTGCGGACGGTGATGGAAGCAACGAGCCATGGGCCGGGCTGTAACCCAAGCTGCCCTGGCCGAAGCTACCGCCTACCGGAGTCGGACGGGAGATCGGGCTCGGTTCATCGAGGCTGCCTCTGACGGGCTGTGAGGGATACCACCAGGAGCTGCCGCTGGCTGACAAACGGTGACCGGAGTTCGCAGTCGGGAATATTTCGCCGCCAGGAGCCAGATTCAGGTACTTCTGTGGCGGCGGACCGGCAGCCAGCTGGGTGGGGGTGCCATCGTAACCATTGTCGATTGTGCCGTTCGGGGTTTTCCTCCTGAGCGAGTGCTCAGAGTTGTCGGCCATGTAGGACGGGGGCAGGTTCGTTATGATTCGGTGGTACGCGCTGTTCCATTGCGAAGGAGAGTGGTTGCTCTGATAGGGGTTGTATGCCCTCGGCGACGGTCGAGCTTGTTGTGATGCATGGTCAAAAAGCCGGGGATCGGGGGCCTGGTCGCTGTTCGATTGTGAAGATCGACAACCTCTCGCATAGCTCGGAAAGCCTGGCACCGTGGGGTGCGTCAGGCCGGTGATCAGATCCATCTCCAGCGAGCTCGATGTCGGAAGTCGCACGGGGCGGTCGGCGAGGCTGGTGGGTGCGAAAAGAGTGTCTGGCGGCGCCTTGAGTCCGCGCGCGATCACAACACCTCGATCCGTCCGCGCGTGGTCGGGATCCTCAGTGAGAAGGATGACCGACGTAGCCTACGTATGTCCCGGACGGAGTGGTGTTGAGCGCCGCCTAGTGCCTAGTACGAGGCAACGACAGGACGCTCAGGCTGTAAAGGAAAACATCTGGGGCTAGAAGAGGTGTCGTCGTGGCGACCAACCCTTCGCAAGCCAAGACCACGGGAGGAAGGAGTTGAAGCGGGCGGGAGTCGATTCGAGTCGGGATGAGCGGTAGTTGATTCGGACCGCCAGGCCTTCGTGAAGAAGGTGGGGTGTTGTGGAGGAAGACGAGAGTGCCAGGCGGTGGTGGTGGTGATGGTGATGGAATCTTCGATTGTGGGTCAGAGAAAGCTAGCACACGCGGTCCGTCGTAGTGGTAGGTAGGGTGGTGGAATTGTGGTGATTGAGAAGGAGTCGGCCTGGGCCCGATGGTGATGGTGTTAGTAGGCCCAGGTGTTCAGGGCGGGCCTGTGCAGCGCCAGATACTGTGTACGGGAGGCGGTACGGAGTACGGAATTGATCCACCAGGTACTGCACCGTGCAGTGTGTACAGTACCATCCCGCAACCAGCGCCAGGCACGGCACAGGGCGGCACGGTGCTGCACAGTACCTACAGCACACCACAGGGCAGTGAGAGACACCGCCCAGGCTGCCAGAAGCGGTAGCATCTGAGCACCTGGGGGGTCATTGGCCCGTTGGAGACATGGGGCCTTGGATTGTGGGCTGGAGGGCACGGAATTCCCTCCCTTGCTGCGAGTCCGCAGAGGGCGGGAAAGTTGCAGATTGCTGGTGATGGTCGTGTTTGGTGTTGACGCTGGAATCTGCTGATGCTACCTAGCTTGAGCTCGCCTGCTTCGCCAGGGGCAATCTGACTTCCTCCTGCCGCTACCGTTGCGCTGCGATGAAGCTAAGAAAACAGCAGCAGTTGCAAGTGTGGGCCCGCTAGTTGAGGTAGCCGCATCTTGGCCAACCCTGGTTCCAAATCTAAGGTCCCGCTGGCTGGGTTTCCTGGCCGCCGGCACCAGGCTACAGACAGGGCACGGAGCACACAGGACACACAGACAGACAGAGCACTACGGTAGACGCTGGGACTCTAGACGGGTACGCGTACGGGCGTGTCTCTTCCTTGTCTTCGTCCCTCTGTTCTGGCCCATCGTGTCCTTTTTTAGTCCTCTGCAGGGCTGACTTCCATACAATACACGTACACACACACACAGCAGAGGACGCATCTCAAAATGACAAGCGAGATGCCGCCGAGCTCTGTACATGGTCTTACACAGTGCACACCAGGTCCGAAAGATGCGGCCTAATGCGATGATTTGCTTACTTCCAACCGCAGGCGCAGGCCCCAGGATTCGTGCTGCCAGGGATCCGAGCCCACCTGCAAAATACATTCTCAGTCTGCCCAGCTGCCCAGGACACCAGGTATAGCTGGTACCCACCATTGGCATCAGGCCACCCGAGCATCAGCATCACATCTCAATCTTTATGTTGATACTGGACTGACAGGAACACCTTGCTGCTGTCAGTCAGTCAGTCACCGTGTCGCCCTCTGAAGCACCTGCTTCAGCATACATATACATTTGGGCATACACCCGCGCACAAACACGGGCAGCGCTTCCAGAAAAGATTGGCCGCTCTTGCGTACCCACCCGGGGGGGGGGGGGAGGAGACCAGGCACAGATGATCTTCACCCTCCGCCCCCCGCCGTCATGACATCCTGTGTGATGGCGGCGCAATCGGGAACGATGGAAACAAGTGCGAGACTGTCACACCTCACACCCCACTCCCACCGGCGGTACCTGTATGTACGTACCCTGTGCCTCCAAGGTTGTTAGGAGTCGTTCCCCGTCAACAATCCGCAACAAAAGTTCCCGGCCATCTTTGGCAATAAAGTACAAGAAGCAACTCCACTGGAGATCGGCATCAGCATTCAGCATCGTCATCATCAGCAGCAGCATCACCATCCGCCGACAGGGTCAGCAGCAGTGTCGACGCCACGGTCCCAATCCGTCTCGCGTCGCTCTGCCCGGGCGTAAAGCCGTGCCACCCCAATCCTGCGCCGTGAGCGTCGGCGTATCTGACACTTGCCCACCAGTACGGGGGAGAAGGGGGGAGGCCCATCAGAGAGCTTCCTTGGATTGGCCCTTCCGCCTTTCTGTCTGCCTGCTTGCCTGCCTGCCTGAGACCTTCGTACTCTGTGACAAATATCCTTCTGCCAAAGCAGGAATGATTTTTCTACGCATGCGCACCAAGTCTACACCGACACATCAGTCCTTGATCCTCACTCAGCCAACAGATCGTCCGCTCGCCGGCGCTCGGGAACTTGTTTTACCCCAGCAGGGCAGACATGCGACCATGGGCATGCTGTCGAGACTGACACACACCCACACCTGACACCCTATGGGCTGCCCCCATGCAGAGACACGCAGGACACGGCATGGGAAAAGGGCTGACAACTTCCAGGATAGGCTGTGAGCGGGTCACTAGGATTCTCGCTAGGCTGTAGCCGCTTGATTAACTTTTGCGCCGCCGCCAATCAAACCAGTAAGCCCGCCGCTCTGGCACATTAGCAGAGACCCTCCAGGGCTGCCAATGCACCCATCCCGCCTGGGCCAAGGCCACTGGGCCCTCCTGCCGACAGGAGAAGGCGGCCAACCGTCAAAACCTCCAACCCGTTCGAACCTCCAACACCGCGCCATCCCCTCGTAGCCGCCGCCTATCTTCCCTAGGCGCAACGCCGGCATCAGAGCAGTGTTGTCGTCAACATGTCTTGTCTCAGCGACCCACAAATCCGGCCAGGACGGGAACCAAGAGGGAGGGACCCTCCCGCCCGTCCGTCACTGTCAACATGCAGATATGTAGCAGACAATCACGTACCGAGAACGCATATACATAGACGTCCACTCATCCAGATCTCCCGTGGGACTGCCCCCCTGCCCCTCCCGCTGCGTGCAACGCAACGCCAGTCGCATATGCAGCTTGCTGCTGCCATTACCGCTCAAGCGCTCCGCGTATTGGGCAATCGGGGGTACTTCCCTGCGTGGCTGTGCGGCACATCTGTCTCTCCTCACGCATGCAAACGCAAATACTCTTTTTTTGATATGTCCCGGGGTTTTATTTTTGGGTGCGCCCCGAATCCCGTCCCCGGCGAAGCCTTCAATCTCGCCTGTGCGGGAAGAGAAAAAAAAAATCCAAAAGAAAAAGACAGATGCTTGCTTGCTGCTGAAAATACACGACGTGACAAAACAGTTCCGAATCATCAAACCATCAGTAAGTTTCTCTGCCCGCAGCTGTCGGCGCCCCCGGCCGCCCGTCTTGCCATCCGATGTCTTGTTGCTTCGACACCCTGCATGGAGGCGCCTTACGCCAGCCAGCCCTGCCGTGATAAGAATAATCGCCGTCCCCGTTTCTCCACTGTGTCAATCGTATCGTCCCGCGTGTCCAAAGTGAGGCCTCGTAAAGCTTACTGGAAACCGGGGAAAGGCGCCCCTGCCTCGAAAAGCCACCACACTCGTCGGGGAGCCCAGTGTGTTTTGAAACCCCAACGGGTCAATGCCACCGCTCTGCGTCACTGGGTGGATGGCCCGGCCGGTGTCGTCGATTGGGGTAATTGGACCAGACCGCCCATCGGCACCTGCGAGGGCAAGCCAGCCCATTTCCTTCTTTCTTGTCCCCCCATCGGAATCTCGTCCGATCTATGATGCCGGTCATTGCCACGATTTTGTTAATGGTGGGAAACGCCGGGAAACTATAATCCACAAGGCTCTCATGCGCGGTACATCCTTGAAACCCGCGCCTCGACACGGCAGAGCGACATGGGTGCTTCGGTGAGCCCACCGCCGGAAGAGCGGTAGAAGAGTGCTCCGGTGGAAAGTAATCCTGTGTATTTCTGATTCTTGTCTCTAAGGATGTCCAATAATGCTATACGTTGTGCCTTGAAGAGGCCGCCACGCCACTCTACTTGCATCTGGCGTGCGTATTGCATTCGCACAAAAGCAATAGCACCCCAAGCCTGGTCGCATCAGAAGCCGGCTGTGGGTACCACAAGAGACGGCTGGTCTCCGTCTGGGTGCGGCTCACAGAGGCGAATCGCCACCTGGCTACACATGCCGGAAATGTAGATATGTTGACCTCGAAGTAGGACCTCAACCTCCATGTCGCCCGAGGGCCAAGGAAGCCGCGGTGAGTAATGGGTCTCGACACTTTAATCTTCCTGTGCACTAAAATTGAAAAATACCATGGAGAGCAATGGTGAAATTTCAGAGTGTTGGCCAGGTTCCTCCAGATCGGGGTGGGTAGAGAGCGGGAGCGTTTGGGTCAGACATTCACGACACCGAGCGACGGATTCTCGGCAAAGCTTGTTCATGGTTGTTTGGTGCGGTGTATCACTGCCATTCTTTTCCGAATGGACGCGCCTAAGCTGTGAAAGAGCAAACCCTGAACTCCTCATGACAAGCCTAAAGGTCCCGAACCACAATGCCTCATTATGTCAATTTTTTCTTTACTCCTCGGGGACTGTAGTGAATGGTTAGCACCGCCTGTTTCAAGCCACACTGCCCGTAAGGGGCTGTGCGAGGCTGTCAAGTTTGAACTCACTGTCGATCTCGCCCGCATCAATCTGGTCCTGGATAACCTTGGGGCTCTTTCCATCGACCTGGCAGCCAACAGAGAAGGCAGTACCCAGGATCTCCTTGACAGTGCCGGCCAGAGTCTTGGAGAAAGACTTGAATCGCATGGTGCGGGCAATGTCGATGATCTCATCAAGCGCAACGGACTTGCTGTGCTTGATGTTCTTCTCCTTCTTGCGGTCACGTGGGGGCTCCTTCAGGGCACGGATGACAAGAGAGGAGGCGGTGGGAACGACGGAGACGGCGGCTTGACGGTTCTGGATGGTGAGCTTGACCGTGACACGGAGGCCCTTCTGTATGTTTGCACTACTCGTCAGCTCGACCGCGCTCTCAAGGAACTGCCTCAAAGAGACAATGGGGGCCAAGGATGGGGGTATCGAGGCAGGAGCGAGGTGGTTCGTACCCAGTCACCAGTCGCCTTGGCGATATCTTCACCAACTTTCTTGGGAGAAAGACCCAGGGGACCAATCTTGGGCGCAAGGGCGGAAGAGGCACCGACCTCACCTCCGGTGGCACGGAGGTGGCTGTATTCCCATCACGTCAGCATCGTCTGGCTCATCGATCACAATTTGAGATCGCGAGGTCAAATCGCTGTTGTGATGGTGTCGGCGAGGGGGAGCAGGCTTGCGTACATGACCTTCACCTCATTGGGGTCGAACTTGGGAGCTGTGCGCCAAGTGGTTGTCAGTATTCTGAGCGCGACCGGGTCCAACTTGGGAATGCAACTGAATACTCACGCATATTGACTGGTTGATGAGGATTGGCTGGTGGTGGGTTGGGTTCTTTGGAAAGGTCGTCAACTCAGAAGCCAAAAGTTTCGACAAAGGTCGGCTAGCCCAGTTGTCCCCATGAAATTTGTGATGGTGGGCGAACTTTGGTAAATCACGTGTGCGGGACCCGCCACCGGTCTTGACAAGCGCTGATTGGTCCATAACGGAGCAGGGAGAGTACCCATTGATCGAAGTGGCAGGGGCCACTTCCCTCGGATACCTTCCGCAGTACAACTAGAAGAGATCCCCATACAGCGATATCGAAATGCTCCAGGATCGTCTGTCTGATAACTTGTTTGTTCAGGTGGATCTTACTTAGAGTCTAAAGCCATGTAGTGCCTGACGCATGTTTGGGGATTTCTGCCGGCTGCTCGCCCGGCTTGTGAGACCAGTTTGGCCGTGCTTCATTCACTCAAGTCAGATGCAGTCGTCTCCCGGGCGACCTGTCTGAGTAGAATATGTAATGAACAGTTACGTTATGCTGTTTTTGGTTTCAAATTCTCGAACACGGCTACTCCACTGTGTGCTCTTCGACCTCTGAAATGGATGAGGCTCGTAGATCGGAAATTGTACACCATACATCAAGCTCCATTCTCAAGTGAGAGCCCGGGAGAACGAGAGAGCGCCTTCCAGTTTACGTGGAATGAATGTCATCAGGACCGTATACTTGAAGTCGTGTAGTGAAATTTGCTTGGGCTATCTTTCTCAGAACACCTGCACTGCACCTGCACCAGCCAGCAGCCTTTCCCTCTCCCATTTCTAATTAGTACCGCTTACCGCGAGCCTAAGGAATCTGATTAGTACAGTGCTCGGATCTAGAGGGTGGAGTCAAAGGCATACTTCATAAGATGATCCATGAATGTTTGTAGAGACACATCGTCTGTGAAGATGGTCTGCGCAGTCTGAGCCCCAACGCCACCGTACGCCCCCGTCGTATGCGTGGTGGAGGGGTTCAGCTTGGACAGCAAGAAACGAGCTTGCGAACCACCCGCGTCACAGACGATGAAACGGGGGAGAGGGAAACGGTCGGTAATCAGATCCTGCAAGTTGTCAATATAAGTATAATACTCCTCTTTAATGTGCGTCTCTTTCGGCTTACCCTGGCGTCCTCCTTCGGCTTCTCCAATAGGGCCGCGAAATTCTCGTAGCCCTCTTGCTCCTGGTACCCGGCCTTCCTCCACTCGGCAATGGTCTCTCCATGGAAGATGAGGATGTGGAAGAACGTGTCGAGGAGGAGGATGTGCTGAGGTTGTATGGAGGTAGAGTCCAGAAGGACAGGCTGGCCCTCGTCCTGGTCGAACGTATACGAGTCCAATGTTGGCTGGATCATAATGAGCGAGTTGCTGACATCCTCGTGGTTGAGCACATGCCGATAGAAGGCGGTCTCGTCTGGAGAATTGTTGAAGACCTGGAGGAACTGACTCCTCCTGAGATGGAACATGAACTGAGGGTACAGTGTGAAGTTCTTCTCGAGGCGGAAAGATGATGGGTCGTCCTTCCTGTAGTCGGCGAATCTCGAGCAGAGTCGAATGAGCATGCGATCAACCCAGCGCAGGACGTCAGGGCCATCGTCCACTTCGGCCTTGAAGACAGCAATCCTGGACATGAGCACTGCCGCAGCTTCTTGATCGAAGGACTGGGCGATCGCTGGGTCACCAGCTGGCCCACTCATGTTACGTGCGACTGTCGTCACCCGCAGGTGGAACTGCCCGGAAGAATGCTGATAGTAGGTCAAGAACTGCATCATTCCCTTCTGAGGGGTCTGCTGGTGAGCCGCTGGGCCTCCTTGGCCAGCGATCTCAAAGTAGATACCGTAACTGGCGTTAGGATCAATGCCGCACATCTTCCACGAGCAGGTGTTTCCGATACCGCATTCTGTCTCGCCGACGGAGGTGGACTTCTTGTTTAGCGAGACCGCGTGCCCGATGAGACCGGTAACCTTTAGCTCCTTAGTTGTCAGGACCTCGAGAACACCGTTGAAGCCCATTGTCAGGTTGTCATCGTCATCCTTGTCGAAAACTCGTACAAACGATTGCTTGAACATCGAGGAAGTGAAACTGTCTGTCAGAATCATGTGACCGCCTGTGGAGTTGCAGAGACCCTTCATCTCGAGAAGTCCGACCTGGTCCAGACAACCGGCGAAGATGTCGATGATATGGCCGTTGTGAGCGGTCCGCTTGGCCAGGTTGTCGTAGAACTTGAGCGCCTTCTTGTAGTACTTGATGTTGTCGCGGTCAATATCATGGTGGGAACGGATGGGCTCTCTCAGCTCGGGTCCCACGACCAGTCCAGGGCCTTCTGTTGCTGCTCCACCGGCGAACAGCATGACGCGCCCACCAGCATTCTGGAACGAGGTCTCCAAGAGACCAACAGCCACACTCAGAGCAACACCTGTGCAACGCAAGTTCCTGCGGTCGTTCGCGACGGGCCATGGGTCCTTCTGCAGCTGCTCAATGGCCTTGGTGAGGTTGAATTCGCACTGCGAAACCGGGAGCAGGAATCGGGCAGCCGGCCCCATTGGCATGGGACGTCCTGGCTGAGGCTGCATGCCGGGTCGCAGGGCAGGCTGTGACAGTCCAAGCATCTCCTGGACTTGCTTAGCGGAGTATTCCTTGCTGCCGCGGAAGACATATGACTTGGCGCATTCGGTGTAGCCAATCTCGTGGACCTGAGCCATGGTGCCGAAGGTGATGAGCCCAACCAGAGCATTCTCTGGCAACAAGCTCAAGCTCATGATCAAAGACTCCTTCAGAGCAGCCAAGCTGTCCTCCTCCTGGCACGTGTCGACGACATATAGGAAGATTGGCGGACTCGGCGCGGGGCGAGACAGCCTGTATTCGATTGTCGTGTTCTGGGGGTGGAGCTCGGGAGGAATCGCGTTGGCCGAGATGTCTTTGTAGTGTGGTGGGAGCGCATTTCGCGACAGGCAGAACGGGCAGATCCAGAGACGCGCCCTGAGGTCAACTTGGCTGGCATGATGTCAGCTGTAAACGCACCCAGCCAGGGCGACGGCAAACTCACCAGAAGGGGTTCAGGACAGAGCGGCACGGTTGCTTGCAGGTCACTGGCTCGAACTGCAGGAGCGGCGACTCTGGCTTCTCTTTCAAGGGGGTATACAGGGCTCCGATCGGTACCACGAGTCGAGAAGCCTCCTGTAAAGTCGGTCAGCTCTGGTCGCAAAGAACACAAGACTAGCACGCGAAACCAACCATTCGGGAGCTGGGGAAAACATTCCAGCTGAGACGGACACCATCGCGCTCCTCAACGTCGCTCCACTGCTCCTTGAGTGCCTCATAGTCCATGGCGGCCATGATGATGTGGCAAGTATGGCCCTGAGGCTTGGCTTGTTGGTACCCAAGCACTGTTTGTGGGTTCGTAGACGTGGGGGCACCTGTCGTCGGCCGTTTAAAAAAGAATGAAGATTCCCGTTTCAATGGGCAACGGCAGCAGGTGATGAGGCAGTGGATCAATGGGTGTGAAGGGGGATCGGGTTGACAGACGTGGCCAGAAACCTGGGCGCGAGGCTAGCTCTGACGAACAGCTGCCCCTCGAAGTTGAGGACAAGTTCACAGTCCGAGCTCGTGAGTTGCTAGCGCCACAGTGGCCGGAAGCTCCCTTGCTGTCAGCCCGCACGGACCCGGCCCCCAGAGCCCATCAATTCGTTACTAATCCTCTGCGCCTCAAAACAATGTCCGCGCCCATACACTATTCACAATCCTAGTGGTGAGAAGCATATGCTCCTGAGAATTTGGCTGTTGCAAGATAGTATTCCCCATACAAAAGTTATCGCGGTTGCAGCCTTTTCAAGTGTTCATGTCCGGTGCTGCATCAGCACTTCGCAACGTCGTCAGACCTATATACAGCGACTTTTCTAGAACCAGCACACGTAAAGACCATCAAACATAAACAAGCAATATCGGGAATCATATTCACGGAAATTGAAGCCGGGGACATCCTCCTGTAATTGCCAAAGCAAGCAAAATTTCCATTCAACCGCCGACCCGTATCTAGCTATTAGGAGTGCAATCATATCACGCAGGCTTCTTGAGAAGCATGTTCATATCCTACAACGACGAGGAAATTCCCCAACACAAACGCTCATAATGCGCAATGTGGACCTTGCTGGTATTCCCACATCAAGCCCCCAGCTGTAGCAGCCATGACTGCTTCAGGCCACGTTCCTAACCTCGTAGCACCGTCTCCAAGACGACAACACGCCGTTCAGGCATATTTCCGAAGCTAAGTGTGACATTAGTAACCTGTTGTGACCACGAGTTGAAGGGCCAGATTGTCAAACTTACGTCCAAGGTCAGAGTTTTGGAGCTGTTGACCTCCTGATCTCGGTAAACCCCGATGAGGCTCTCGCTGTCTTGGAACAAGCCTGTCTTGAGCGAAATAACGATAAATTGCATGCCCGGGCCAGCATGCTCCCGAATGTACTTCTTGATCTTCTCTACATTCGCATTGTCCAGCGCAGCATCCACCTCATCCAGCACGAAGAACGGGCTGGGCTGGTAGCTGTGGACGGCGAAAAGAAGCGCCAGGGCCGCAATGGTCTTCTCACCACCAGAAAGGTGTTCCATGTCTCGGAAACGCTTCAATGGTGGCATGGCGTGGTATTTGATACCCGACAGGTACGGCGTGTCAGTGTCGTCCTCAATGTCGAGGTATGCGTGGCCACCGATGGGAAACGCCTCCGATCGGGTGAGATCCTTGTAAACCGCGACGATCTGCTCCTTGATATGCTCGAAGGCCTTGTTGAAGAGCTCGAACCGCTTCGCCTTTACGGTGTTGAACGCGTCGCGAGCTTCTTTGAGAGCAGTGCGCGAGTTCTCGAAGTCCTGCTCGGTCGCCTTGAGCCGGTTCTCGACGCTTTCCAGGCGTTCGATGGCGCGCATGTTCGGATTCAGCTTCTCCAGTTCGGCCGTGAGGGAGCTGATCTTTTCTTGAAGCTTCTCCTCCACGTCTTCATCCGTCTGGGATTTGTCAGCTTTGTGTTCAAGGACAAAAGAAAGCTAATTTACTTACAATCTTGAGCTCGTCATCCAAGCTGTCGAAATCGACTTCGACGCCATAGTCGTCCAGGGCGGCTTCCATATCAGCTTCGTCACCTTCGTCAATATCCATTGCATCCGGATCTTGACGCAGAAGCTGGTCCTCATTTGGCAAGTCGTCGAGTGAGCCCTCTGCCAAAGGAATTTGCACTTGCTCCAGCTTACAGCGCCTGAGAAGCGCGAACTTGCTTGAGCTGTTCTTCTGGATTTCAGCCTCCAGGGCGCTGATTGCCTTCAGCCGCGCCTCGATGTCCCTGCTCCGTTTCTGTACTTCTTGTTTGGCCTCGTTCACCTTGTCCACCTTCTTGCTCTGCTTCTCTTTCACCTCGTCTAGGCTCTCTTTGAGCGCCTCCAGCTCATCCTGGTGTGCGCCTAATGTCTCCTCGATGGCTGCCTTTTCTTGTTCGTATGCCTCAATGTCGGCCTCCAGCCGCTCGAGACTTGACTTGATCAGCTGCAGACGTCGCTGGGTCTCATCGTGCCGAGATGACTCCAGTGTCAACATACTCTTCAGCTTCTGCTTCTGCACCTCAAACCCGTTTCGTTTCTTAGACGCTTCCTGTTCCAGGCTGCCTTGCAGTGCCTCGTATGTGCGGATATCTGCATATCCAAGTCTCTTGCAGAAGTCGGCGAATATCTTGTCTTGCACTGCTGCAATGGCGCTTTCGAACTTATCGACTGCCTTGCGCGTTGCTTCAAGTTCGCCGCTCTTCTCCTCATACTTCGGTTCCCATTCATCAAGTTGTCTCTCTTCATGTTGCAGTTCCTTCTTCTTGCTCGCTTCATTCCTTTCAAAGGCCTGCAGCTCGCCACGGGCTGCCTTTAGCCGTTGCTCGAGGCTTGCGAGGCTTTGCCTCAGGGTCTCTTCCTTAGTCCTGTCCGGCCGTGGCAGTGAGAAATACGTCTCACGATACTTCTCGAGCTGCTTCCGCAGATTCTGGACGTCGTGCTCTTGAAACTGTCGCTTCCCGCCCTTACGCTCTGGCAACCGACCGCCAGTCATCAAACCAGCCTTGTGAATCACATAGCCCTCCAGAGTCACGGCTTTAACGGGGATTCGCCTCTTATAGCAGACCTCCTTGGCAATGTCCAAAGTGTCGCACACAATGGAACTGCCACAAGCGTACGTCATGGCACGTTCAAGTGACTGGTCGAAATCGATCGTCTCGATTGTGAGTCGCGCTCCGGGTATGCCTTTGACAGCTGAGTTTGGGGCGTTCGTCTTGATGTTGTCCAGCGGAATGAAGGTCATGGGAGGATAGCGCTGCTGCTTGAGATACTCAACACAATCGAGACCGACCTTCTCCGTGTCCACGACAACAGAGTCAAAGTCACGACCAAGTGCAGTGATGACAGCCTCATCGAACTTCTTCTGCTTGGGCTTGCAGAGGTCGCCGATTCTTCCACGCACTCCCGAATTCATGCGTTTGAGGCTCTGGACCATTTCCTTGGTCCTCTTCTCTCGGTCGCTTTCCGCTTTGCCGCCCTCGGCCTCTTCGATCTTCCTTCCGAGATCGTGCATCTTTTCGTCCAGCTCAGTCTTGGAGTTGTTGATCCTGACTCTCTCAGAGACCAGGTTATTGTGCTCCTTCTTGTTGTCCTCCAGTTCAGATGAGATCTGCCGTACAAGCTCCTGGGTGGCCTCCTTGCGTTCTCGGATAGTCTCGAGCTCGCCGTTGAGCTTCTCAACTGTGGCTTGGAAAGTGTCGACTTTGCCTTTGAGACTGTTGACCGTGACTTCGTCACCTTTTAGTTGGCGGATGAGACTGTCAAGCTGGGCCTGATTCTGTGACGACTTTGCCATGACCTGAGCCCGCAGATTGTTATATTCCCTGCGGTCTGCATCCGTGAGTTGCTTGCCTTGCTTCTTGATGGTCTCCTGCCACTGCCTGTCGAACTCCTGCTGAGCTTTCTCGACAGTCGCCAGGTCCTTTTTAGCCTTTTGGATAGCTTTGGCTTGGTCGTCGCGCTCCTTGCTCACAGCTTCGGCACGCCTCTTCAACCTCTCGATGTCATTGGTACTCTGAGCCACCTTCTCGTTGATCGGGACGAGGCCATTCTCTCTCTCCTCGATCTCCCTTTCTTTCTCACGGATGTTCCTCTCGATCTTGCTCACTTCTCTGCCCACCGTCGTGTATTCTTTTCGGGCTGCCTCGAGTTTCTTCTCGAAAGCCTCAACATTCCGGCGAAATTCAATCAGGTTCTGTTGGTGCTCCTGTATTTGTGCGCTGGACTCATCCATGACCTTCTGAAAGTTGTACAGCTTCCAGAGGATATGTGTCACGATGGCTTCGTCGCGCTCCTCAGTCTTTCTCTGGAAACTCTCGGCCTCTTTCTTTTGTTCCTGGTACTGCTTGATCTCGGAGTTGATGCCACGTCGCCTGTGGAGTTGGAAGTTCTGATTCTCCGTGGCTTGCTCCGCCTCCGCCTGGAGCTTGTCATATTCTGTCTTGTACTCCAAGCTACCCGAGATTTGCTCGATCAGGCGTGTTAAGTCTTGCGCAGATTGCGACGCGATCGCTTCAACGTCTCCTTGAAAGACTAGGAAATTGCGCGCTTTGATGAGGATATTCTCGGTCTCCAAAGCCTCGTTGTATTGCTGCGCTGTGACACCACGATCGTTGATGTGATATGTGCTAGTCCCCTGGGGCGAGATAGTACGCTTCCACTTTTGCTCGTCACCTGCATCGTCCTCGTAGACGGCCATCACCCATGCAGTCTTCGGGTCGTTACGGGAGCTTCTCTGCGATGTATCCTCGTCCTCGTTGGCGTGTCCGTTGGTGGTACCGTTGGTGGCCGGCTCGAGAACTGATCCGTCATCATTGATCTTGCTTGTCTTCATGACCCGGCCGCGGTAAACGAGTTCTTTCAGATGAGACGAGCGGAGCTGCGAAGACTTGATTCCAAGGACGAAGGAGATCGCGTCCATGCTGCAGACGGGCAGTTAGCTCATGCCTGGGGAGGGCAGGTGCCATGCTGGGTTCAAGGCTGTCACTGACGAATTGGATTTTCCTGATCCATTGGGTCCGATGATGGATGTGAAGTATGAATCGCCGAAGAGGAGGGTGTGGTGTCCTTTGTAGGACTTGAAATCTGCGCGGTCCTGTCAGTGACAACTGCCTCCCAGGTGCTTTGAACGCGGTGAAAATGTACTGAACAGCTCGAGACGGATTAATTTCCCCATCTTGAATGCTGAGATGGTGCTGCGACGCGTCGGGGAGTGCCGTGTTGGATGGCGCAAAGGGTCGAGGGTGATGCAGTCGCCCGGCGGATGACACAGTCGCGTCGACTGAGGGTGTTGTTTTCGCGCCCAGTCGAGGGTAGGAAGGACTGGCTGTAGCTCTGGTGCGGAGAGAATCGTGCGCCTCCCGTGGCAGACTGCTGCAATGAGGGCAGCTTGAACCAAGAGGGTCGCAGGACGGGAATGAAGGCTGTCGGGAGGGTGGGAGGAAACGCGACGCTATTTTCGGAGGGGTCGTCCAACGCGATCGAATCAGGTGGTTTGAATAGTGCAGGTAGGATGGCAGAGCCGGTGTTCTTGCCAAAGACAGGGGTCCACGCACTGGGGTTTCCGGGTTGGGGATAGAGCCATGGGGATTGCTCCTTTCCATTTGAAGATTGTCTAGGCAGTTTGGCAAGAGCGAATCAATCAGAAGACCAAGACCATCATCCATTTCCAAAACTGTCCCCATTACCCTCTTGAGTCTCTCTTCTTGAAGTCAAGACTGTCGGGCAACGTAAATAAAGCAGGTAGACAGTCCTCTAGAAGTAGGACTATATGGGATACCGTTTGATCGAACTCGGAGGTAGCGGCACGGTTCCTACAAGGTGGGTACCTACCAGCGGAGGTAGGTAGATACAGACTGGGCAGTCTTTGGAACACAAGGACATGTTTGCACAGGCATGGCATTCAAAGATGTATTACACATATATAGGTACGCACAGGAGAGCTGTATATAGAGCATAATAGATCTGGCTCAGCATGCAGCATACGTTATAGAAGGCCGTGCCGTTTGAGCAGGCACGATTGTGCTTTTCATCGTGCCCTTTGGGTTTCCCTTTTAATAACCTGAGCGGACGCGATCCACTTCAAGTGAAGACCAATGTGCTCATGGCCAGTGCTGACTCAGCTCAGGTGAGAGCCAGAAACCAAGGCCTTGGGAGCTTGGTTAGTCGCTTATTCTTGGACACAGACAGATTCGTTATTGCCGGATCTTCAGGTTGATCTGCCAGGCGTCACTCTCATCTGGTCGATGGGCTTGGCACTGGAGATGGATCACCATAGCTGCCTGACAGCCGTGCACTAACTGGCTCGCACCTGGTCATATGCTGCCCAGCTGACAGCTCCCGACCTACCTGAGAGGTTTCCTTAATCGAACCCATACTTGTCTGCGGTCCAGACCGCATGCTCTGGGTGCCGGCTGATAATGGGCAGATTGCCGCTGGCCAGCGTCCCTGTTGTCCATTCACGATGGGGCTCCAGGGCACGCGTCTAGGCCCGGCTCAGCGACAGGGCCGTGTCTGGCCAATGCGGTAGCTGCTAGCTACGTCAATAAGGGTGCATTGCTATGACATCAAAAGCGGGCCCTTGCCTGCCTACTTGGGGAGGTACCTCTAGCTTAACATCGACAGTCCAGCCAAGCCAGAGGCCACCCCAACAACATTGTTTCGCACATCATCGTCTTCGGCGCCTCAGCGTTGAACCACGCGTCTGGTAGTCGATCCGGTCACCTGCAGTATCCCCCCACCATCCCCGTTATTCTAATCCACGCCGCCCAGATCTCCAGATACTTCGATCTAGACCGGCACTTGGATCTTGTGCTCTCCGCAACCAGCAACGAAACCCTGAGCCCGGCCAGCAGCAGACTACGCTACGCCAGCGCTCATCGCGTTCCCTAGGTACCTTTTGTTGGCCAGACGGACCGAGAGTTGAACGGTGTACAGCTTGCCAAAAGGTACTTGAGGCTGCTCATCTGGTGAAATACCCTGACTCTTGTAAGCCCACCTTTCAAGGCTTTCCAGGCCAAGTGTGGTGTGTGCATGTGAAGATGATCACGCCCTTCTCGCTGGGATGCTAGGATATCGGTACCACCCTCCATGCGCCCATCCCACTTCACCTCGTCGACTCCCCTTCTGCCCATCTACTCATCCAGAACACGCTCTTGAATTTCCTCAAAGAAATGGCTGACACATTGGTCCTCAGGCTGGTAGAAGCCCTTCCCAAGCTGTCCTCTCCCACTTCTCCCAGGCTCCATCACCGTACCTTGGGTGAGATGGCGGATCCAGACCCGTTACCGAACCCAGCCACCAAGCACGATGCTACCGACAGCGAAGGCGGCTACTTTCCCGGCCTCGACGGCGGCCCCGACTCGCCCAGTGAGCATGTTATCACAGACACCCCGACCCTGGGCCCAACAACCCCCAGCTCCGGCAGCCCGAAACTGTCAAGGAACCCATCTTTCTCGAATAGCAGCTCATATCAAGAGGACTGGGAGGCTTTCCCACCCTTGGACCGCCTGAGTGTTCTGGACATTCTTGACAACTTTGCTCTGCCGCATCAACTTGAGAAGCTGCAGAGAGGCCTGTCAGCTCAAACGCAGAAGGTGCGCAAGTCGCGAGATGCCCTCAAGAACAGGAGTCAGGTGGCACGGGAGCGCATGGTCGAAGAATGGAGACGACGCGTCCCTCCTGCGGAAGAGCAGCTTGACCGCTACAAGAAGCGTATGCGGACGAGCGTTGATAAGCTTGGCAAGCAGTGGAACGACACAAAGGTCATCACGCTACGTGAGAAGGTGTCGTTCATTTGCGGTGTCCTGAACATCTTCATCAGCGGCTACCTGATCGGGGCTTACCCAGAATACATGCACCTGTGGTACTCCGCCCAGACCATCTACTTCATGCCAATCCGCTACTACACCTACCATAAGCGAGGATATCACTATTTCCTGGCCGACCTCTGCTACTTTGTCAACCTGCTTCTGATGCTCAGCATATGGGCTTTCCCAGGCTCAAAACGGCTCTTTGTCGCGACATATTGCCTTGCTTTCGGAAACAACGCAGTTGCAATCATCATGTGGAGAAACTCCCTGGTCTTCCACAGCTTCGACAAAGTTACGTCGCTCTTCATACACATCATGCCGTGCGCGACTCTGCACAGCATCGTCCACCTCTGTTCCCCGGAACGACAGCTCCAACGATTTCCCGCTGCCTATGCAGTGAAGCACTCGCCACCCGGCTCCCCGACAGCTTACGCGAACGTTATTTCGATGCTCGCTTGGAGCACCATTCCCTATGCCATCTGGCAGCTTGCCTACTATTTCCTGATCACTGTTCGACGCCGAGAAAAGATCCTGGCCGGACGTCCCACATCTTTCACCTGGCTACGGAAGTCCTACTCCAAGGCCTGGCTTGGGAGGATTGTCCTTTCGCTCCCCGAAAGCCTCCAGGAACCGGCATTCATGTTCATCCAGTACTCTTACGCCGTCCTAACCATGATACCCTGCCCAATATGGTTCTACAGCCGATGGGCTTCGGCAGGGTTTCTGATGGTTGTTTTTGTGTGGAGCGTATACAATGGCGCGACCTACTACATTGATGTGTTTGGCAAGCGCTTCCAGAAGGAACTTGAGGCGCTGAAGGCTGAGGTCGCGAGGCTACATGTCGGCCCGGACGGCTACACAAGCCCGCTGATGACACCGCACGTGGAGGGGCCCGCGGCGTCAGGAGAGGCGAGCCAGAAGGAAGGAAATGAGAGCTTCAAGGCCGAGGCACTGGGTAATATTGACAGTATTCCGCTGCTTAATGACGAACGCGAGGCAAAGCGCGGCAGCACCAGTGGGGTGGAAATCGACGGAGGTGCGAAGGATGTCGCAAGGGAAAGGAAAGCTGGACAGGCAAGCTCATGACATTGATTTGGCGCTGACCTTACACATACTATAATGGACGATGTTTCTGGCACTATTGTCAGTCCAGGTTGGATTTTCAAGGCTAAACGTCTATTGCGGAACTTCATCGATCTTAATACCCTGACTGAGGATATTGTTACGGCTGATCACGGGTCTTGGTTAATTTTTCATTTGGCCGCGATTCATACATGTTTTGTGTGTTTTCCTTGGTATTGTTTAGCAATATATGCGTGCTGCTTGGTCACCCATCTGGCGTTGAAATTTCCTTGTGTTCATTGGCGACGGTTTGCGGATTGGCGAGCTCAACATGACAACAATCGGTGGAGCAAGCACCCTAGGCATCGGAGTAGATACTGGTTGGAGAGCTGTCAGCACAGAGGGAGTAAGTAGAATGCGCACAGCTGAGTGCCGTGAAGTAGGAGATTCATCAAGAAGAACGGTTCAAACGCATCTGTTAACTCGTCTCTAGCCGCGCGTTCCTGTGCGAATCACAACTGCCCAGGAACCCAGCTTCATATCAACAGAGTAGATGCTGGTGTCTGAAAACAGTCGCATACGCTGATTGTGCAGTCGAGTACACCCTCCAAGGAGCTCTCGACACCCCCTCACTTGGCGCAAGACGAAGCAGTATAATCGCGAAGCACATGTAAGCGCATATCAGATGTGCACAAACGCTGCCTCTATTCATAATCATCATACCTCGTGCAACCAACCAAGCCGGCCTCGATCAACCCTGAACGAATAAGTCTAGATCCTCCCCCTCGAGCAGCCTCAGGCAGAACGCCGGAAGGGGATCACCCCTCCCTGGGCCACTCGGCATGGGAATACTAAGCGGGAGGAGGCTTGAGGGTCGCGATGCGGTCTCCCGCCGCGTTGCTGGGTACAGCAAGCAGCCCAAAAAGGTGCCCCGCCCCCGGGCCCAAAAAGATTCCAAACTCCAGACCGTCCAGACCTAACCGCGTCAATTCATATCCTGGCTCTTCCTGCGCGCCCCGCGCCCGTTCGCCTTCCCTGGGAAGAAACACCCTCGCCGCCCGCCTATTCGACCAAAATAGACACCGGTAACAATGCGATAATGTTGATGTTGCCTGCTGCGGCTTCCGTGCTTAGTTTTGGGTCGGCCTCCGCACCGCGAACCCCCCAGCAAGCGAGAAAAGAAGATGGAAGAGGCACGGAGGGTGGTAGTAAATGTAGGAGTACAATGTAAACAATTGAGTCCCTCACGGACGCCTCGAAGTTTCCAAGACGACCCAGGGAGCAGCCAGCCAAGATACAGCAGCTGCGGTGATGATTGGAGAGAAAATGCCCCAGATCCTGTCCAACGCCTCGCAAATGAATAGGCAGAGCCAGAAAAAACCAAGCACCATACCGTGCTTTACCCTCGATATGCCACAAACGCCACTGGTGTCCTATTCCCTGAGTATTGGAGAGCGAATGAGAGTTCGCCGCCCACGACAAAACTGGAAACAACGCCTTGCTAGGATGGAGGTCTCGTTATACACGGGAACGGATGTCAGTATGTCAGAATGCTAGAGGAGGCAGCCTTCAGGTCCTTCAACGAATTATGCCCCAGTCTGAAAGACGCCCTGCCCCGTCACTCTCCTCCCTGGCTCCAGGCTTCCTCCCAAACACGTTCCAAAAGCGCAGGGTCTCGTCACCCGCGCCCGTGACGACCGTACGCCCATCCGGACTCATAGCGAGGTACAGGACTCGGTACGTGTGGCCTGTGAGGCTTACGACCTGCGTCATGGACGGGTATTTCCACACCACGATCTGGTTCTGGCTGTACCCATGCGTTGAGACGATCTCGTTAGAGTTCTTGGACCAGGCAATGTTACAGACCTGACTGCCTGTGTCGACCTCGTTGATGACACTTCCCTTGAGGGTGTCGTGGAATATTATCCGTCTGTCCGCCGTGCCACCTCCCGACGCAAGTAGACCCCTTTGGTGCGGGGACCAGGCTATCGCCTTGACTGCAGCTGTGTGGTCCGAAAATTTCCACAGCGGTGTCTCGTTGAGGCCTTCCCAGACCATCAGCTTGTTGTCGTTACCACCTGATGCGAGTTGCCCGTCATCGGCGTTCCATTTCAGACCGCACACCTCTTGCTTGTGGCCGACCAGTTTCCGGACCCACTGGTCTGGTCTTCTGACGTCGCGATGGTATATCATTCGGTCGCGGGATCCTGAAGTCAGGATGTGCGAGTTCCATGCCAGAACCGACTCTACCAGTATGGCCAGTCATGGTTCTCAGACGTCGTGTTTTCTCGGCATCCCAAATTTGCACCAAACCCCTTGTGGGTGCCGATGGCAATGTGCGTCCCTTTTTGTATCCAAGACACGCTCGTAACTGTGTCATCTTCGAGGGTGCACAGCTTGTTCACCCGACTTGTCTGGGCGTTCCACATGTAGACACTCGATCCCAAACCAACGCCCAGCACATTCGCCGAGCCCCAGTCAACCAAATTCAGATAGAAGTCATCTGCCAACTCCGGTGCGTCCAAGACCTTGTACGGCACCTTACTCACAGCCCTAGGTTGCCGCCTTGGGCTCAATAACATTTGCTGGCTCCCAAACCTAACGGGCGACAAGCTGTAAATCTCGGCTCTGGTGTCCATGTTAGGGCCATGTCGACTCTGTGGCGTCCTTGAGGGTGTCATGTGACCAGCAACGCCGCTGTGGTTGCGCGGTGACATGTACGAAAACAGATTTTTATGGGGCGTAGATGGAGTCATAGTTGGTGGCAGAGACGGAGCTGGAGCTGCCGGGGGCGTGTGCGATCTCGCTCCGTCATACGAAGTTGCATTACGCGCTGATGCTGGCAGAGAAGGGTCGGGAGACATTATGGGCGGCGTGGCGTGCGGTATTGAGCCCTCGAATAGCTCCGCACGAAGCAGGGAGTTGTATGTGCGGTTTGCTTGCTCCGCTGCATGGCGCATCAGTTCTGGATCCCGACTCTGTTGCTCATTTTGGAGAACTCACTCTTTTGAAAATTCAACTCGCCATGAGAAGGCCGCTTGGGCCTCGCCGTGGTGGGGGTGCCAGGCTCATGAAGACTGTAGCTGGCCTGTAGGTCTTGACCAGTTCGGGTAGGAATGAATCTACAGCGCCTTGTCAGCTACGAACGGCTCTCGAACGAAAGTAAAGGGAGGTCGTGCTACCTATCGCCATTTATCCTTTGCCGTTTCCTGGAAGGACTTCCGCCCGGTGTTGATTCCCTTTGTGAGCGACTTGTCTGTCGGCGCAGCTCTACATCAACAGCCTCAACATCCAACGAGCCTCCTCGCCCAACATCGCTTTCCCTCGGATTTGATCTGGAGTTCCTTGAAACCCCGATATCGATGTTGTGCTTGACCTCCAGGCGGGCGCGATCTGCGGGAGGTGGGGGTGTTGCTATCCTGCCGGGACTGTGAATGGCGCTGTTCGAAGTTGAGCAGCCCCTTTTGGACGCAGGCAGATCGATGCCTCTTAATCTATCTGGATCGAGCGTCATGACGGGAGGCAGAAGGCGTAGGATCGCGAGGACTGTGGTTCGGGATAAATGTCGGCCTCTTGGGCGACCTGAACGAGGTGACGACCAGTTTTTGGAGAAGTGCTCGAACACTGGATTCGATGGAGGGTGTTCTTGTGGACAGCGTTGTATTGCGCCTGCCTCGTTCACCGATAGCTTTGAGAAAGAGCGTGCGTTGGGTATGAGCGACCAGGTCGGAGCCACTTTTCAAGCTTGTCGCAAGGAAGGCTCGAAATATCCGGAGTGGTCGAAGTATTCAGAGCGGGAAAGCCAGTCGGGGAAGTTTCTGGCTGCCAACGATTTGAAGCGAGGTCGGGGCTACGGCATGTCGTTGAATGGCAATGTCGACTCGGATGGGTATAACAGGATGGATAACAATGCGATCGCGCAAGCCAGAACGGAGACTCAGGCCAAGGATTGTTTCTATTGTCACGGGCTGATTGATCTGCGGGGTCGTGGCTGTTGCGAGCGAGCGGGCTCGTGGCCGTCGTGGGTGGTGACGAGGGACGCAATGTGAAGTTGAGAATGGGTATGGAATGGGATGGAGCCGCTGCCGTCTGGATGAGGCGGGCGTGCTCCCACTCTAGGCAGTGCGGGCTAGCAGCTAAGGTGAGCGGGAGGACGGACGGCGCAACCAGACAGCAACAGTCGCCAATCACAGCAGCCACGCGGGTCTGGAAACGGCCTAGCGCGATTTCTGTGTTTTGGCGCTCCCTCCGGCCTCTGACTGGACCTGAGCGGATGCGAAACAAGAAAGCACGACCACCCCCCCCCCCTTCTCACCTTCTCACCTTGCACCCTTCCCAGTAACAGCACCCCTGCATTACTGAACATGAAAACATCACAACTGGAGATGAGCAATTAATTATATAGAATGCAAGCGAAGGCAAGTGCATTGAGCACCATCAGCCTGTTTGGCACCTTGACATGCCCATTGTACATTTGAATGCTGCAGCAACTTCATGCCTCTGCAGAAGTGCCCACTTTGGCACGGCAGGACGGACCTGTCCGGAGCTTGCCTCGGGTGGCTGGCTCAAGACCTCGCCATCCTGCCTTCTGCCTCCCTTGCTCAAACTCTGTTTGATGGTGAACGCGAACTGCTCCTCTCGCGAAGGCCATCTGTTGTCGTCCTGTCCTGGGTCGTTATGCCGCCCGGACGATGTTGTTCGCCGTCCCTCCTTGACGACTGGATCGGAAACCGCTTCAGAAGGCTCTCAGCCAAGCACAGACACAGCGGCAGCGGCTCCTGGAGCAGCAACTTTGTTTTGCTCTCAACACGAGATCGCGAGTTTTGACGTCCAAAGAGGCCTCACGATGGGGCCATTGTTATTGTCCTGTCGCGTCTAATGCTTGCTCGGCTTTGGTGGGGATAATCAAGCGAGGCCTGCACATCTGCAGGACTGCATGCAGTATGTATGAGGAACGAGAGGCATTGTTTGTTTTCGAACCTGGCAGGGAGCGGCAGTGCTTTGCAATTCGCAGCAATTGCAAACGGGTAGCCAGCCACTTAACGCGTCCCCACTGGTCGCATTCACCTCAACCCGGCATCAACACCACCAATCTGGCGCACGTACACCAGACACCAATCAGGGCTCCGGACTGGCTTACCCCGACTCTCCAGCCGGCGCGTGCCCCTGGCCTCATGCGCTTCCGAGAGACCCTTGCAGTAAACAGGTTCGCTCCAACGGCCTGCAGACGTTGCACCACATCAGCCAATTCACTCCCACACACGCGCCGATTCGCGTTGCACTTGGCCTGTCAGTCAGTTTGCACATGGAGTCAGCAACAACAACGCTTCAGCAGCTGTGGAATGCTGACTCCAGCACCGCCTTGGCAACATCGCGGTGCTTTGTCTGTTCGCACCATTTTCTGACGCTGCGCGATTGGCAAATACCAATGGTTGATGCAGTCCATACATTGCCTTGCTATGCTACTATCCTGTTGCTGGTACTGCCGCCAGTCCTGACTCCAGCACTCATCTTATCACGAAGTCCAATGTGGGATTCCCATGGTTGCACGGATGGCAACCATGTGCTTGGCTTTACGCCGTACAGTAATCCACCTGTTCATTTTAACGAGAGACCACTCGGCTTGTGGGTACTTGATATGATGGAGCGAAATCCGTAAGCTTTGGATTTGGATTTCAGGACTCGAGTTCCATTGCAGCATTCACTTTCATTTGCCTCGGTTGCGACACTATAGGCTCTGCTCGCCGACGGTTCCCTTTGCCGCACGGAAACCTCCTGCCAAATCACAATGCTGCCAACGTCTGTGCCCAGCTATTGTCCTCAGCTTTCACATGGCATAGTTCATGTTCACAGCTCCGGCTCCGACTATTTGGCGAGGCGACTAGGTAGGCTCTTGCGGGAAGCCCCATGGCAGCCAGGCTAATGCAATCCAATCCGGGCTGCACTCTTGATAGTTCGCCCGGACCGTGGGTCTCCAACATGCCTGCATGGGCAGCCGGAAACGACCCAGTTGATGCTTTCCCGATGCTTCTTCCCCGGAGATTTGAGAACTGGATCTGAGATGCTGTGAACGTGGCTCCGGCTGATCGTCCTCACGGCTCCTCAGAGATGTGCACCGGTTTCGTCAAGGGCCATACATAGCAGGGAAATACGACACACTCAGGGGGCGGACCACGTTGCCTTGCTATTGGGGTGCCATCACTGCAACCTCCTCCCCCTTCCTATCAAGACCCCGCCCCGCAACGTCAACGCCCGACCTCACCCACACACACTTCAGGTCCCAATAGCAAATGGGAATGTGTCCGAGCACAAGCGCACTACTGCCAAACGGACCGGTGCCCGTTGAGCCCCTCCAGCAGAAGCAGTTAGGTAGACCATGGCGCCCTCCTTCCATCGCTCATCGTCCACAGCAAGTGTTTCCTTTGCAGACAATAGCCCACGAAGTGACCAGACACTCTTGTTGGTTGCCATGAACGGCCGGTGGGCTGACAGCTGAAGGCGCGATGAACGATGTTGTTCACGATCGGTGCGTGTTCATGGGCTACCCTAGTTCCTCATCCTTGAATGCCATCCCCCGGAGTCCCACTCCGCAGCTCGGACGGAGATTTTGTGGCTTGTTGACTTCAGCAGAGTTGCGGGCCCCGGGGAAGCTACTGCTATCATCATCCGCCCCCGGTCCTCGAGAGCGCTATATGCCGGCGAGAATTGGGAGGGCAGCCCGTGGGCAGGTACACTGGCGTGTAACCTTATTTGCTGTGAGGCACACAGTCACAAACTGTCTTGCGATCTCCGGGTACCTGCTCCTCCTCTTCCACACGCAGGTTCCGATGGGCGAGCCTGCACAACCGTGGCGTTGGATGCGCGCTATGGCCTTGACTCGCGGAAGGTTCCTTGCCATATACATATCTGCAAGTCCAGGCCCGTCAGCCAGGGTTCAACGCCACCGTCCGATGAGCGCTCGTCTGATGGGCTACCGGGTTGGCTTGTCGAGTTGCTCCCTGTCTCACGGTGGCCTGGCCATTGCCCTGTTACATGCGGAGGAAAGTGTTTTGGGTCAAGTTGCAGTACAACTCCACTCTAGGACAGTTAGATTGACGTCGTCTCGAGAGCATGGACCTCAGGGTCGTCTTGCCCGAGTGGGCAAGCGAGGGGTGTTGCTCTGATACCTGCTGCTCCTGCGAATAAATATTCTCAGGACGGCAGCTTCGGTTGCTGTCATCCTCTGTCTTTCTGCATAGGCGCTACCCATTTCTGCAGTTCTATTACGCTCGTCCACTTTCATCGGAATACTCTTTCCTCTCCCACGCGGCGGCGCCTCAAATGACGGACTTCAGGAGCAGCGACAAGACTGAGTTCAAAGGGTTGCGCCGGGCTTCCTTTGCTCGTGCCCTCCACGTGCCTGCCATAGGCCGACGGAAACACATTGAGATCGTGGAAAATTCCAACCGCAATGCTTCCCCCAGCGTAAAAAATACCGAGAAGGAGCCCCAGCGCACCCCCAGCCCCAATCCAGTGACGGTCTCTATTGCTTCTCGAGGAACCGAGTCCAATGACGGGGGTGAAGGCGCGGAGATTCCGGATATACCCCTTCGAAGGTCTCACGTGAAGCGCGTCAGCGCCGACCACAGCAGCTCATCGCTGGGCACCTTGGAGCGAATGTTGACCACGGGCGCGACGCCGGATGTGGCCAATGGTCACCACTTCAGCCCTATCAATCCCAACGCAATCATGTCTAGCGGCGACAAGAGGTAAGGTGCCTAGTTTCCTGCCTTGCGGGAATTGGCTTTTCGTTAATAGCTGGAGAACTGACGATGAGGCAGCCTGCCCGATGTTCCAGAGGCATCATCCGCATCAACGATCAGACCAGAGGCTGATTCGTATCTCGAATCTGTGCGTGAGACGCGCTCGGCCCCTGAGTCCACCATCGGCTCAGCTGTGTCGCCCTTCCCGTACCCGAGGAGCGCCCAAGATGGATCGACCATCGAACCGTCCATAACCTCAGTCTCATTGCACACCGATTTCACATCGCCCCTACCTGCTCTGCAAACAAGAGGCGCCGACGAAGCGTGCGATGCTCTTGAGCCGCTGGCCGAGGAGGACGTGGAGCCGGGCAGTTTTGACCTTGTCATACCGGCGACGAACCTCACCGTCTACAATCTCGAAAGGCGATCGGAGCTTCTCTTCTCAGTGGATCATCTGCGCATCATTTTTGGTGATCCTGTCTTTTTGCAAAGATTTCTGAACTTCATCAGCATCTACCGGCCCCAGTCAATACCTCTGCTACGCTACTATCTTGAAGCGTTGAAGGCAATAAGGGCGCTCGAGTGGATCAACAGCATGATTTCGGGTACTTTGAGGCTAGATGGATACGACTTTGCTTCCAAGTTGGAACCAACGACCAACAAGTCTTTGCTGCAGAAGGCGGAGGAAGCCTGCGAGAGGCTCGCGAGGGACGAGCTCCCTGCTTATATCACCCATGTTTGGACGGAATTTGTTGAGACGTCGATGCGGAGACGCATCACTGGTACATTGCCGGCGCATTTGCATGACATGAGCGACGGTCTTGCTGAGGTCTTTTGTATCACTGACCCGTCGCGGCCCGACAACCCGATCGTTTTTACTTCGGAAGGTGAGTTGCTGTTGCCTCGTCGTTCTCGCTTGAACATTTGCTGACAAGGGCCTACAGAATTCCATCGCATGACTCAATATGGCCTTGACTATGTCATTGGAAGGAACTGTCGCTTCCTCCAAGGCCCCAAAACGAACCCCTTCGCCGTCCAGCGGATCCGTGAGAAGCTTGATCAGGGAAAGCAGCATTACGAGACATTCCTGAACTACAGACGGGATGGCTCGCCTTTCATGAACCTTCTTATGTGTGCGCCCTTGATGGACTCCACAGGTATCGTGCGATACTTCCTAGGGGCCCAGGTGGATGTCTCAGGGCTGGCGAAAGACTGCTCTGGGCTGGAGTCCCTGCGAAGGCTGGTTGACAAGGATGAGGAGGGAAAGCATGGGGCCGGAACCCAAGACAACGACGGCGATGCAGCTTCCAGAGTAGACAGTGGCACCGATGTGGACGCGGCCACTCCTCTTGGTGTTCCTTTGGCTAGAGATGCTGAATTGGGTGAGAAGGACCATTTCCGGCTTCTGTGCGAGATATTCAACCGCCAGGAACTCGAGAGCGTCCGTCGTTACGGTGGGCGGATGCACAGGTCCCAACAAGAACAGATCCAGCACGAGTCGACCTCGAACTGGGCCAAGGGCCGTGTCATAATCCACGACAATGAGAGCTCGCCACCCGGCACGCCCCGGCGGCAGAACAACTCGGAGGTTCACGATTTCACGGGAAACATCACCATCTCCCCGCGAGCCACCTCCCCGCCCCTAACGGCCGCTCCGGTCGCCCCGGTTCCCGCGGTCCCCACGACCCTCCACGGCCCACGGGTGCCCACAATCTACGAGCACTTCCTCGTCGTGCGGCCGTACCCCTCTCTCAAGATCTTGTTCGCGTCGCCGTCCCTGCGCGTTCCCGGGATCCTGCAGAGCCACCTGATGGGCAGGATCGGCGGCTCGAAGCGCATCCACGAGGAGCTCGAGCAGGCCTTCGCGCTGGGCCAGGGGGTGACGGCCAAGGTGCGGTGGATCTCGGGCGGGGTGCGGAGCGACAGCAGCAGCGGCAGCAGCAGCCTCGAGAACGGAGGCAAGGAGGGCCGGCCGCGCTGGATCCACTGCACCCCGCTGATCGGGTCCAACGGGTCGGTCGGCGTGTGGATGGTCGTCGTCGTCGACGAGGACGCAGACGGCGGCAACGGCGGGAGCCGCCTGCGCAGGGACGCGCCGACCGTCAGTGGGCCGCGGGCCAGGGGTGACAGGCGCAAGAACCACGACAGCCTGCTCGCGCTGGATACCATGTCGCTCAACGACTTCGCCGCTATGAACAGCCTCCCGCAGGACGAGGACCTGAGGCAGCACGTCAGGCACATGTATGAGGAGACGAGGCGACGGGAGAGGGCCGCGGCGGCCGCGGACACCTGGGATAGGAAGTGGTCCGACTCGAGGGACGGGGACAGGGAGACTATCAGGGTGAAGGAGACGCCTACCTCCGGGTCTGGGTCCTGGAGGGGCAGGGTGGAGGAGCTGCGGAAGGTTGCCTACAGCCGGAGCCGGAGCAGCTCGCCGTTCACTCTCAAGATTGATGATTGAGGAGGGGAGGTGATTAGCGTCGGCTTCTGGAGGAAGTAACTTGTGGAAGGGAGCGGCTGCGACTCAAGGAACCATGGATACTGTATGGACTGCGAAGGATAATGAAGGCTGCACAGAGCAAAAGAGAACAAGTGAGTTCGGTCCTGGAGGGTTGGATATTTGGTGGAGAGATTATACCTTGAATGGTCTTCGTTGACCTACGTACGGCCTGGACAGTCTTTCGTTTCGCGATCACCTTGGTCCTCAATGAGCGACCTTTTAATGAAAAACATGTTAACACAATGATATCACATACTCTTCCGCTGGCAAGATTGGTAGAATCCCGACGACAGTCAGTCTTTTCAATATTCTGTCACCACTCCATACAGTCTAGTGTTAAAACCAACGGTTCGGATGTCTCCCCGTCTGTCTTGTCTTCCCGAACGCCTCGTGCCGCCTATACCTCTCCGCAGGTATCATCGTCACTTATTATGCCAGGATACAAAGGAAAATTTACAAGTGTAGAGACGCATGTCCGGGCCGTCCGGAGCGTCTCTCGGGGGGTTTCAGTCTAAATAAGTCCCAATGCAAGATTGTGTTGTGTTGTAGCCCTCCGCGATAACGAGCTCGGCTACTTTTTAACAGATCAGCCCCTGGGCTCTGTGTAATTAGGCAGGGGAAGTCTCCGTCTGGGCCAGTCTCGTCCTCCAGCTGTCACACACTTCTTCGAACCCGCCCACAATGTCGCCGCACACGCTCGCGCATTCCCTCTTTTCCAGCCTCTCGCCCCAGTTGCCCTTGGCCAGCCACGTCTCGCCCTCTTCCCTCAGCTCCTCGTCCCTCTTCAGTTCAGCCACCAGCTCTTTCGCACTTTTCAGCCTCCTTGTCGCAGTGGTCGATGTCTGTCGTGACATGTGCAGAGTGTCGGATAGATACGACAGAGTCTGTACCAGGTCGTTGGTCAGGTTCTGCAGGCCCATGATGCTCGAAAAGGCAGCTTGTGACGGCCTCGGCATCATCTCCTGTAATGTGGTGAGCTCCGGTAGGAGCGAGTCTATCGTCTCGGAATCGGGTGGTATGGCGAGTGGGTTGAGCAGCGGGAAGGTGAGGTTCTGTAGCTGGCGGGTCTGGTGCGTGAGGTGTGACGTGAGGGCCGAGTGTGCGGTTATGAGCCTCGTGGTGTTGCTCTCGACGGTAGACTGCGGAGCGAGATCCCGCAGACCGTCCGTCACCCTTTTGAATACTCCGTCTGTGTGTCCTCCGTTATTCTCTGTCCCTCGCCGGGCGAGCGACTCGACGGCGTCCATCCTGGCGACAAGCGTGGCCGACATGCCCGGAGACTCAAGGTCTGACTCAGAGCCATACTCGCTGCCGTCGTAATCACTTGGCTTCCTGCGGTGGCCACGGCCGTTCATCGCCGGTGGGAGCGTCAGGCTCATGTGCTTGCTCTTGCGGCCGTCCGGGCTCCCAACGTCTACCCCGCTGTCTCGTATCCCATCTTGTCTCTGTGCGTCGCTTTGGTCCCCGCTGTCCTCGTCGCCTGTGTCCACGCTGATGCCGGGTGCTCCGTTCGGGTCGTAGTAGTCATCCTCGCCGTCCGACAGAGCATCTGCCAGCTCGTCTGCGAGGTTGCCCAGTCCGTTGCCGCCGTCGGTGTCGGCGAGACCCATGCCGCTGGTGTTGAACATGCCGTCGCCCTCGCCTTGGTTGAAGCTACTCCGTAGTGGGGTGCCGGGGTCGGGGCCCGCAAGCGAACTGCGGGACTGGCGCCTCTCGTGGGGTGAGTGGGAGAAGTCGAAGCCCGAGCTCTCGCGGGAGTGGGAGAATCGAGGCGTGGTGGGAGACGCCATTTTGTCGGTTATTCTGTAGGTTGCGTGGAGGAGGAAGGTTGTATGATTGACCGCCGAGGATCGCTGGCTCGTGGGAGCCCCGTCTCGTGGTTTTGGGCCCCGCAGAGCAGCGTGTGGTGAAGTGTTCGTTGAAGCCCCTGGGGTGGTGGTTCGGCACCGCTGACAGGGGCACAGAGTGCAGGGTATGGGGCACTGGGTGGATGTCGAATGCGAATCGACGGTGTTGTCGTGGCTTGTCCGCAGGAGCGAGACGTTCTGATGGCAGAGGATAAAGGAGAGACACGGGCCCTTGCGTCGTCAAAGAGCAAACACGGGCGACAAAAGAGTCAGTCAGCCCAGAAACCGAGAGTCGCTGTAGCTATAACAGAATTTGTTATAGACAGCGGAGCACAACAAACACTCTGCGGTCGTTTATTCGCTCGGGTGGGCTTCTGGCCTAGCAAGGCATGAACAAGCAGACAGGTTGCTTTGTTGTGACGGCATGGGCCCGAGCAGGCATCGACGGGGTCGGTTGTAGAACAATGCCGGCGGCCTACGTTGTTCGGAAGACGGGGAACGAAATGGAGTTGCGAGTCTGCCCTTCTCTTTGAGTGTCTGTCTGTCTCGTCACCGGCAGTGCTTGATGCACACATGGCAGCCCAGCGCGAGTGCACATGTACCCAGGTACCGTAATCAAAAGCGCGTTGGAATCGTCAAAACGCTCGACAGGGGTAGGGGCCGATCGGGGCTACCTGAGCACTAGCAGCTGGGGGTGACGGAAACCCTCCCGAGCTGATAGCGGCCGCGGTAGACATGTGATGGTATCGGACCACCCCCTTGGATGCCAGCACAATTTTTGGCCCTGACAATCAACGTGGAATGACGGGAGGAACACGCCATTCACCCATTATTGTCTCACTCAGGGTCCCAGGGCCGCGTTCTCTCACCTGTTGACACTGGAAGAGACATTGCAGAGACGCCCTGGAGCACAGATCGCGACTGGGACGGAACGCTCGACACCAGCAATTCCCCAGCTGATGAGCACACGTCCGTGAACCAAGCGAGTCGGGGGTGACAGGGCCGAGATCAATTCACCATGGCAAATTTCCGTCGTTTCAGACCCGACGATGTGAACAAGTTCTCAAAGTGCAATCTCGACCCCTTTACCGAGACATATGAGCTCGGCTTCTACCTGCAGTACTACGCCAAATGGCCCTCACTCTTCCAGGTCGCAGAGGACCAGGATGGCAACATCATCGGCTACCGTGAGCTATCCTGCTTCTCCCGCGTCTCGTCCCACCAGGCCTGCAAGACCGTACCGCTGACAATTCTCACAGTCATGGGCAAGCTTGAGTCCTCCCCAGCCTACTACCAGGGCTCTGAGAACTACCTGCCGTGGCACGCACACATCACCGCCCTGACGGTGGCCCCAGAGGCACGCCGGCTGGGCATAGGGAAGCTGCTCAGTGAGCAGCTCGAGGCAGTTGCCGACGACAACAACGCCTGGTTCGTCGACCTGTTCGTGCGCGCCTCAAACCACAAGGCCATCGCATTCTACAAGAGCATGGGCTACAGCGTCTACCGCGTCGTTAAGGATTACTACGGTGACAACACCGAGGACCCAACCCTGGACAGCGAGGATGCATATGACATGCGCAAGTCCTGCAAGAGGGATGCCAAGGGAGAGCATGTGAGGGAGGACGGTATGCAGCATGAGGTCAATCCCGAGGATGTCTGGTGAGGTATTTGTGTCCTCTGATATCGCCCGACCCTGGATGGTTTGGTCCGTTCTGGCTCCTTCACTGCATCGAGCCAGGCAACCGCAATTTCAACTCTTCCGTCGTTATCCTACGTCCAAGCTCCGTCCACTGCGTATACACTGCCGCTCACAAACGTACTCTCTGGACCAAGGAGGAAGACAATGACGTTTGCTACCTCCTCCGCCGTTCCGTGTCGTTGGAAAGCACTTGGTTCGTCGAAAGGTGCGTCTGCGGGCCTGCCACTCAGATCCCAATGTTTCTGCATGAGAGGTGTGTATATCGATCCCGGAGCGACGGCATTCACTCGGACCTCGCGGGGGCCATTCTCCTGGGCAGCGGCCTTCGTCAACCCTATCACCCCGTGCTTGCTGGCATCATATGCGGCATGACGCGCGAACCCTGAGGCGGAGGTGAAAGCGTGAGCAGGTGGACGTGTGTCGATGTGAGTCCATGAGAGATATGAGATTAGGGAGAATAGGAATCAGGAAAGGCATACCCTTCGTCCCGTGAATGGAAGCAACATTTACAATGGTACCCCCGTCGACCACTTTGTTCAGTTCGGCCCTTAAGCAGTACATCATCCCGGTCAGGTTTACAGCAATGATCCGGTCCCACTCGCCGTCATCTAGGTCCGTTACAGCATCCCTTCCGTGGCCCTTTCCAATAATCCCGGCGACATTAGCAGCCCCGTCTAGCCGTCCAAACTCCGATACGATACTTCCGATCCACGACTCGACGTCGGACCGCTTCGAGACATCCAGTATTGACGTTTTGAAGCTGCGCTTCTGAGAAGCGAAGAAGGAGCCTGCGCTGTCTAGTGCGGCTTGGTCCACATCGCCCAAGCAGACCATTGCGCCCTTTCGAGCGAGACTCTTTGCTGTAGCCAGCCCTATTCCGGAAGCCCCGCCTGTGATGGCAAAGACCTTGCCATCGAGAGTGAGGCCAGGCACGGCGCCGTTTTGGGTCATCAGGTATAATTGAAACACAGGAGGGCTTTGAAGAAGTGTTCGAGGTGTGGAGTTGAGCACTCCCTGGCTTTCATGTCGCCATGGGATTCAGCTCGGGGCTCCAAGGAGGTATTTATACGTTCTGCTAGCCGTCAAAAGGGCAGCCTTGCCCGTCCTAATGCGTCTCTCCCAAGTAGTCGCCCGGTGGGCGGGGCGGAGCCTGAACAAACGCAACGGAGCATCTGGGCCGGCAAAAAGCATCGGCGGGATGTAGGTCTACCGAGCCCCCGAGGCGAGGCTACGTAGCGCGATCGCTTCGCAGATCAGCCAGTTTGCACGCATGATCGGGCGGGGTGCTGGGAATGTCGACATTCTCGTCGGGACTTTTGGCGGGGACATCGAGGACTAATTATCCCGTCGGCTGATATTGAGATAACACGGCCAGGTCTGCCATGTGGAGTCGTCCCACGGCGGCCTTCAGGCGTACCTCGACGAGCGGGTACTAGACCATTTCGATGGTTCATAGTCTGGGCAATCGAGAGATAGCAGTCGTGGTTGCTCGGCTACTGCCGGAGACACGTGCTAGAAGCAACAGACTGATGAGATGAACTACTCGCCCAATGCACAAGAACGGCCAATTGAACATGTGTGAGGGCGTGTGTGCGGAGACGATGCTAGCTTAAAGAGTACTGGTCTCAAGCCTCGGAGCCGTTTCTGGCGGCGTCATTTCAGGACGGCCTCAGAAATGCCGTGGAACTATTGCGCCACTTATCTAGTCTGTAAAGAGACCATGGGGAAGAGATCAATTTGGCTTCTGGCTCAGGCACATTATTAGAGATCCATGAAATGGATACCCACCATGTCAGCCTACGACGCATTTACTTATTGCGCGAAGCGGACGCATACGGACGCATCTGATGAAGATGGGTTCCACACCAGTGCGTTTTATTGGGGCTCGGGCTCTGGTCACCCATATTGTTCTCTGGTAGTCTGTTGGGAATAGATGCAATATAAGAGCTGTGTCTTCGCAGAACATGCCACCTTCCCAAAGATTGCAGGACTATACTTGCACTCAATATGCCTTGCAACATTGTCTTGCGGTCCACCAGTCAGTCAAGCCGGATGCGCGGCCGATTTCTTTTGACTCAGGTGCTGGCTCACTACTGCAGGCATCGAAGCATGCCAATGGGCGGCCAGGACCCGTGTCAGTGCGAGAAAAACAACCGATTCGGAGGACACGCGCATATTCGCGTGGTGTGGATGTCTCAATGCTTCGCGCGGCCGTGATCTCTGGCGCTCAGTCAACTCGCGGGACAGGTGACGATTCAGAGGGGCTGCTACTTGTGCTTCCCCAGATTTCAGGCTTCCCCCACCAAGGCAGAGAAGGGCCGCTGGTCGCCAGCGGGGAGGGGCGGCATTGCCTTATAGGATCCCCACAGCTGACTCGAAAACGGCGGTCTTGGCTGGCGGCACCACCAGTGCCGGGTGTCCGCGTTCGGGACCAGCTGGTCTCAGCGTTGGCGTCCCAGTTTGCTGGACCAGACCGACCAGACCAGGACAAGATGGAGGGGTCGCATTCTGTGCCTGGACAAACGGCGTCGTCCAATGCGCTTTCTCCCCGGGCTGCCGTTTTGGTCGCCTTTGGGCCGGCCTTGACGTAACTCAAGCCCTAGGAAGGCGCATGACCAGGTCACAGCTGGCCCAAAAGCTTACAAGCGTGCATCCCGCCTGCCGAGGTCCGCGTGGTGGCCTGGCAATTTGGGGGGACGTGGAGGGCACAACCGAGTCGCGGCTTGACGATGTCGAGGGCTTTTGGTCGAGGCACCTGGGCACAGAGGAAGATCAAGTGGTGAAACGACCGGGGTCGTGGGAAGGAACCCACTTCGGCTGGGGTCCCTTCTGACCTCCCAGGCGCAGGAGGTCACACGTCATAGGGAGTCGGTCCACCCGCCCAGCCCGCCAGCCCGTCCTGCTGCCACTGCCTGTCTGTGGACGTGGGCTGCGTCTCCGGTCGTGTGCAGCAGAGCAAAGCACAGGCAAGCACGGCTGACGTGACCAAGGCCTCAGCTTGGACTCGAGATCGATTCAGGGGCCCGCCAGATACATTTTTCCTTCGCCGGGCTTGAAACAGCCACGCTCACCTGCTCCGAGCTCTCCACCCATCTCTGCCTCGTCCTCTTGTCTCTCAACCCGAATGGCCTCGGTCATCTCACGTTGCTGACCACACTCTGCCTCCTGACCGCACACTTGTGGCCAGCCTCTACCCTTCTCTCCGCCCCTTCTGCTACGACGCGGGCTCGTCCGAGACTGGTTTGGTCGGCCTGCCCTCTGCTCTTGTTCGTGGTCGTCCACGTGGTTTTGCTTGCTTCCTTTGACCCTTGACAAGGCTCCCTTCCCTCATTTTTCTGGGTATTTTTCCACCATGCGCTTGAGCCTGTTAAGCCAGGCCGCGGCGGCTGCTCTCGCGAGCGCCTCGACTCTTACGCCCCCGATTCTGCCGCTGGTGGTCCGGAACCCGTACCTCAGCACGTGGGTCCCTTCGCGCCATGCGCCCTGGGAACAATGGCCCATCTTCTGGACTGGGCGCACGGTGAGTTCAACGAGAGTCGACTTCTTGGCAACGTAGCTTCAATGTGAAGATTAGAGAGCCTGGCGGTGCCCAGTCTCGGCCAGACAGACCTGATTGTTGTGCACCATGCTGACGTTGGACCCGTCAGGTCGGCTTTTCCGTGCTGGCCGCAGTGCCGGACTCGGGCGACGTCTATCCACTCCTCGGGCGACCCCAGGACTCGCTCGGAGGCTCTGGCCCTGACTACAACGTGACCTTCCCCGAGTATCTCGGCGCCACTTTCGATGCCTCGACTACCAACCTCACCTACCTGATTGCCGGCCCCAAAGGCAAGGACGAACCGCTCAAGCTCACCTTGTCCTTCCTCTCTCCAATCACTCCCACGTCCACTCTGAGACAGTCACTGCCAGCTGCGTATTTGACCGTCTACGCCGAAGGGTCCTTCGATGTAAACTTGTACATCGACCTGAACGGGGAATGGGTCACAGGGAACAGGGACAACGACATTGAATGGAGGCTCCAGCAGACCGAGGTTGCTGCCGAGACAAAATCCCCTGCCGGCATCAAGACATGGAAAGTCAATCGCCGCACCCAGCAGCTTCTTACCGAGTTCGATGACCGGGCCGAGTGGGGGACACTGTTCTTTTCCGCGCCCGAAGACGTGCACCACGAGAGTGGTGTCTCGGCCATCTTGCGCAAGCACTTCTCCGCTAGAGGCGAGCTCAGGAACGCAAATGATGATAAATTCCGCAGGATTATGGACGAGGAACCCGTTTTTGCGTTTTCCAAGTCTTTCAAGCTGGGTTCGTCGTCAAAGGCAGGCCGCCGAGACTCGCAACACCAGGCTGGCTCGAAGAGCGACAGCGTGAGGTTCACCTTCGCTCTGGCCCAGGATCCAGTGGTCCAATTTGCTTCTGCCAGGGGACTGACCTTCATGCGCCCATTTTGGGCCACCTACTTCCCCACCGCGGAGGAAATGGTCGGATACCACTACACCGATTTTGACACTGCGAGTGACTTGGCCGGCAACTACTCACGGCAGCTCGATATTGATGCCTATGCGTCAGGCTCGTCTGACTACCGAGACATTGCCGCCCTGTCTGCACGTCAGGTCCTCGGCGCTACCCAATTCTCGGGCACTCCGGACAACCCAATCTTGTTCCTCAAGGAGATCTCATCGAATGGCAACTTCCAGACCGTGGATGTCATCTTCCCTGCGTTCCCCTTCTTCCTGTACACCAACCCCAGGTGGCTGGCCTACCTACTGGAGCCCCTTTTGGAGCACATGGGAAGCGGCCAGTACCCCAACAAGTACAGCATGCATGATCTTGGCTACCACTTCCCAAACGCCACTGGGCATGGCGATGGTAACGACGAATACATGCCTTTGGAGGAGTGCGGCAACATGCTGATTATGGGACTGGCCTTGGTCAACGCGTACAAGTACGACACTCAGCCGGCGTTCTTGAGCGTTGCATCCGCGGGCACCGTCAGTATGGCAAAGGTCAAGGGAACCTCGATTGTCGATGAATATGGCATGGACCGCGCATGGGGTTATGGCGAAGACGTAGAGACTAATGACCTCAAACAAGCCCAGAAGTGGGTTCAGAAGTCGTACAAACTGTGGAAGCAATGGACTGTCTACCTCATCGAAGAGGCCTTGGAGCCCAAGAACCAACTGTCCACAGACGACTTCGCAGGCTGGCTCCGGCTGCAGAGCAACCTGGCGCTCAAGGGCATCATTGGCATCCGAGCCATGAGCGAGATCTCAAGCATCCTGGGCGAGACCAAGGATGCCAAGTACTACCGCGAGATTGCGGATGACTACATCGACAAGTGGCAGGAGCTCGCTCTCTCCAGGGACAAGCAATTCCCCAAGCTGTCGTACGAATGGTATGGCTCGTGGACGACCATCTACAACTTGTTCGCCGATTCTCTTCTCTGCTTCCACCTCCCTGAGGACCCCAGCATCTTCGCGCAGGCACCGCAGTCCTCATCGGCGAAGTGGCGGTTGTCCCAGCCCGACGAGCAGGTGCCCGTCTCGGACGAGAAGTCCACTACCTTCATTCCGGACTACGTCTACCAGCTGGCGAGCGACTGGTACCATAATGTGATGCAGCAGTACGGCCTACCGCTGGACAGCCGCCATTTGTACACGAAGAGTGATTGGGAGTTCTTTGCAGCGGCAGTTACGAGCAGGTCGACACGGACGGAGATCCTGACGCTTGTAGCGAAGTGGCTGAACGAGACAGTGACAGGTAGGTTTTACCCATGGATGAACAGGAAGTGATCATATACTAATTTGGCGGAATAGACAAGCCGTTTACTGATCTCTACGAGACCGAGGGAGAAGGGGGATACCCAGGTGGTCTCGAATTCAAAGCCAGGCCTGTCGTAGGTGGTCACTTTGCCTTCCTCGCCCTGGAGCGGGCCTGTGGTGGCAAAGCAACCGAGGCACTGAGCTTCCTCGATGCCGCGCAGCCCAAGCAGCTAGACGTGATGGCTCTTCTCGAGGAGGACAGGCTATTCGGACTGGGCCAGACCGCAGAAATGGAATTGTAAGGACGCATGTGGAGACGCTCGGCCGTAACAACGGCGGATAGAGTTGATTGCATGTATATGAACATGGATATGAATAGGATATCTAGCCATGAGTGAGGAACAAGGGACCTTTCCCAACCATCTTAGCGTACAAGATCGGTGGGTGGGTGTTTGCTGCAATGCAGTACGCTCGTGATGGAGAAGGGGGACAAACCAGATTGCGAATGACAAGAAACGTCATACCTAAGGTAGACAGACCAAAAGCACGTACGTCACAAAATGGATCCCCACGAGCACCTTGATATATGTGTGTACGTAGGGAGGCCTGGGCATGCAGGAGATGCTGTATCGGGATCTCCCGCAGTCTGTGCCGGCTGGAGAGGCTGGAGGGGATCCAGCCTGAGTGTGGGGAGAGAGGCTCATCTGTCCTGGTATCAGTGTTCAACGAAGGGGGCCCTTCATGGTACCGTGCACCATGACTGCATATCTGCATGTACGTAGTCAGGCGTCCAGCCTAATCGGTCTGGTGAGGCTGCAGGCCGATCCACTGGCCTGCAGCAAAGTGGGCAAGCCTGCATGCCTGTCGCCCGGTCGGCTTACAGGCTTCCGGAATCCGAAGCCCATCATCGAGACGCGGAGGTTTTGCTCAAGGTGATTGGTGCAAGGGGCTACCTCACAGAAGAACATGGTGAAGAACATCGTATCCTACGATTGACCGGATGAGAGGTCACCTTGCAGGCAGTGTACATTGCGTACTAGCCGGTTCTCATTCTCCGTTTGGGACCCCTCAGAGCTGTGAAGCGGAACAGCGCCCACGCGACTGATGCGTGTGCCTCGTCCCGTACGGTACGGTACCTACGACGGCCCCCACCCCCTTGCTGATTAGTCATCCTGCCGGATTCCAGCTGCTTTCAAGTTCTCCCTTTCCTCGTGCGTGGCCCATTTTTTTCAGCTTCCTTCATCAACATCCATTCCCAGCCCAACCTCTGGACTTCCATTTGCAGAGTCCACGCAGTGCATTCACTTGTATTTGCACTCCTTTATCCACCGGCCTGCCACTCGACGCCTTTCACCCAGAGAGGCGCCCTTGTCTGCCGAAACACCCCCTAGTGACTCAAGCCAGTCCATCCTACTCCACTACCGCCTTCTTTCCCTCGCCTCTGGCCTGCTTACGTCCTGTCCTGTCTGGCAGCCTTGCACAACTCCAAAATCTTTCATCGACACACCATCCCACAACCTCATCAACCCGCTGATCACCATGGCGACTACTGCGATGGATTATGAGAACCCTGGCGGTGATCGTTTCGAGGGTTAGTTTTCCAAGTTTTTCCAAGTTTTGTTTTTGCCCCATCCGCGACGCGCTGCGCCAGCCGCGCTCCCACATTCAACATCGGGGTACCAAATGCTGACTCCTACCTCTACAGACGAGGGTCCTCGCTATGAGCGTGACAACCGCAGCGCCTCTCCCCGAAGCGACAACGGCCACGATAGCGCTCGTCGCCGTTCCGCTTCGCCTGGTGGCGACCGGTAAGACAACCCACGACAACTGCTTTCAATTCACGAACAAATTCCCCGACTGCCACATTCACTCGCACACAGGCCACAAACTTCTAACACACTTCTGTTGCAGCGGCCCAGTCAAGGACGACGGTGGTGGTTCCAGGGACGGCGAGGGTGCCGTCAACTCTGGCTCCAACCTGTTTGTCACCGGCATCCACCCCAAGCTGAGCGAGGATGAAGTCACCCGACTCTTTTCCAAGTACGGCAATGTCGAGAAGTGCCAGATCATGCGCGACCCTCACACCAAGGAGTCCCGCGGCTTCGGTTTTGTCAACTTCATGACTTCCGATGAGGCCGATGCTGCCAGGGACGGCCTGCAGGGCAAGGAGCTCGAGGGACGCACCCTTTCTATTGAGAAGGCCCGTCGCTCCCGTCCTCGCACGCCTACTCCTGGCAAGTACTTCGGTCCCCCCAAGCGCGGTATGTTCAGTCCCTTGTCCACTGGCACCATTGTTTTCTTTTGCTCACACCACACTAGAGGGTGGCGGCCCGCCTCGAGGCCGTTTCGGAGGAGACCGATACGGAGACGACAGGCGCGGATACGGTGGCGGCCGCGGAGGTCGTTACGATGACCGTGGCTACCGCGGCTACCGCGACCGCGACGACCGTGGAGGCTATGACCGTGGTTACCGCGATGACCGCGGCGGATACGACCGGGGATACCGCGACGACCGTGGGGGCTACGACCGTGGCTACCGCGGCGATGATCGTGGAGGCTACGACCGTCGAGACCGAGACTTTGAGGGCGGTGGCGGAAGAATCGACCGCTACGCCTCTTCGGGACGCGACGACCGCTACGGCGGCGGTGGAGGAGGCCCGCGATTCGACCGTGCTCCTCCTCGCGATGCGCCCGCGCCCGGCGGCTACGGCGAGGGTACGCGTGAATATTCCTTGCCCCGCTATGGTCGTGACTGAACTCTTTAGGTGCCGACCGCCCTGCGCGCTGAGCAACTTTCCAGCTGGCATAGCGCCACGTTGTTGCGTACTTGGTAGGTCGAGCCGCCTGCTGTGGTCCTGTGGGGTCTGCACGCCTTGTTCATTTTCTTCGTTCATGGGAAAGGGAGTGGGTCGGATATCAAAAGAACAATTTGCCACCGAGGAGTTTTGCACGGCACAGCACTAGTTAGGCACTCTGCACCTGGGCCTTCTGCGTTTATTGCAATGAGTTGCGATTTAATTACCGGGGATTTGCGTCGAGACCGGAACGGCCAACATGCTGGTCTCAATCATTCATTCGGAAGCGACGCGAATGTGGGGTTTTTCAGCAGTCGTCTGTATACGGAGCAGATCAGGGACATACGGGCCTTGCACATCATCGCACCAGACTTCACCAACGTTTTCTTCACCTGCACCTGTACGAATATCAATCCACGTCATTCCCCCATCACAGCCTCTGAACGGATTCGGTACGGCTTGAAACGGGTAACAACATCCTTCGAAAATACTGGGAGAGGGACGTCGTCAACAGATAGCGCCAAACTTGACTCGGAGCTCAGCAGAACTCTCCTAACAACCACTGTGCCTGCCAACTCACGATTGAATGACAACCTGAACAACAAGAAAATTTTCTGAAGGTGCAACAAAATATGCCACGACTCAGTCAACATGTCCGTCCAACTTGCCTTGTCGTACCCGCTCTCGCCCAGCCGCTTCACGCAAAATGTGCCAACTTGAAAGCGTTACACGATTCTGCGCTGCCGCGTTCAGTACACGCAGCAACTACGGCATTTCCTGAGCTCCTTAGACTCGCCCCCTGTCGCCTGTTTGCAGACAAAGCTCTCGTCTTGTCTCAACGGAATGTGAGCGCTTTGTTTGTTTCTGGGCGGCAGGGCAGACGAGCAACAGAGGCATCACAGGACAAACAAAGGTAACCCCCAAGTGCCGAGTGAATGCTCTTGTAGCTGATAATCCGTTTCTGTCCAGTCCAGGTAAATCCCCTCGGGGCGCACCGGATCCTGCTGGAATGTGGCGTTAAGCCCAGATCAGCCTTCCGCATCTAATCACAAGAGTTGCAGGATGCAACGGAATCTTGTATGCGAACAGTGGAACAAAGCAAAGGGCTCGGTAGCCGACTGAAACACAGCTGCATGTTTCGGCGCAATTACTTCTCCAGAGTGGCGTCAAGACTGAGATTGCCTTGCACAGGTGCGCAGCTGGAAACCCACCTCCCCCACCCCCCTTCTTTTCCCATGCCTGGATTATCATGGCTACACAAACTTGCACGACAGCAAGGCAACTAACCAAGCACGGCTATGGGATATCTGATTGACGCTATACCGATGCGCTCTGGTACCCAGGTAGGCACAGTGCCTAGAAGCCTTAGGGCGTGATCATCAAGGTGCAAGCACATGGTCGACGGCGTCTATAGCGTCCAAGCCATGATACCACGACTAGGCTCAAATGACGTCTGCGAGAGAGTATCTGCCATGTTTTCATATGTTTTGTTCTTTTCTGTTCGAGTGTTCCAAGTTCTTCTGCAGGGCTTCCTCGACTTAGAGGCTGCGCCTCGTCCAGAACGACTGCAATGTCAAGATGTCTGTGCTCTACAAGTTGTCAACCAACATGAGGCTCTGGGCACACGGAAAGATATGAATCATGTTATCTTCATCGCTATCAAGGTAGGAGGATTTCTATCAAGAGCATGCGGCTGCTTCTTCTGAGCTGCAGTATCATATCGCTCTCAGTCCCGTTGGGCCTGCCTTTGTTTCATTGTTCGGGTTGCTACCTCGTTTTTCTATCTTTTCAAATAAATCACACCAGCAGTCATAAATCTTGAAACAGGCCACTTAGAAAACCCGAGTGGCCCGGGGATCAATACAATTATCTACACAGAAGGCTTTCTACACTGCTGGCTACCGTCCTGATGATTGATAGCAGGCATGGTCTTACGATTAAGAAATACCAGGCTTGATATTCCACTTTGCTCAATGGCACAAGCCCTTTAACTTGATTTTATGTGCTCAATCAGTGGAGCAGACAGGAAATGATATGCCAGGGTAAATAAAAATGACCCACGTTAGTAAATTTGAGTAGTCATCTTAGTTTCCAAATCTCGTGGTATTTCTGTTCTATCAACTTAATTTTTTTACTTGTTCACAGTCAAACATAATTATCATTTCTCATTCCTCATAAGCGTTTTGGAATTAAGTTTGATCCAACGCCTCACAGTAGGGTGCAGGGGACTGCCATTCCGGTGGGCGCGCTCGTCCAACTTGACTTTGCGCAGAACCGGGAAAGCATCCGCTACTTGGTTTACGGTCTGCTTGCTGATACCTTGGTTTCTAGTCGGGATACGCTCACCTCAGATGGAAAAGAAAAGAATGTGCCAGGTGCGCACCGGTTGATGTTGGAATAGCTCCCTAAGGTCAACAACTAGACACCTATTACTGCCGAGGCTCACTTACACTCCCTTATTGTAACTGTAGGAATGAGTACAATAGCTCTGTTACAACACAAAGCGGTTTTGTTGTATAAGAAGGCCATTGAGATGAGGTCCTAGAATCATAAAGACGGCCTTGTTACACTGCTGTCGTTGCCGTGTATGCACGCATTGTTTCTTGTCGCGAGCCCTTTTAGAGATCTGGCTGTCCGGGATGTCAACCAAGTGCATGGAGGTCCCCGAAAATGTATAATATGTTGCTCGTGATGCGTTCACCGATGGTTGTTGTGACTTAGCATCAAAAACACCAATCCCATCAGCCAGTCCCATCAGCCAGTCCCAGCAGCCAGTCCCAGCAGCCATGAGCCAACCATCAAGACAGTCCCAGGGCTCTCCCAACACCAAGGACGTGAAGAGTCCGCAGCAGCAGCAGCAACTTCTCACGCCACCAGACTCCTCCAAGGCCCAACGCACCGGCGTCGACTCGACTGGAAATGCCACCTCTAACAACTACGGAGGGGACACCCAGGACGAGCACGATCAACCTCTCCAGCCCGGCGGCCGGCCCCGGCGATACACGACGTACCCGGACATCGTCAACCCCCAGCAGCAGCAACCCGCGCCGTACCAGAGCAACGGCCGCAGGCGGAGACGTACACAGGCTGAAATGCTGATGCATCATGCCCTAGCCTGGCTCGGCTACGGGGAGGACGTTCCCAATGTCAGTGTCGTAACCGGGGAGCCGCTCGTCTATGGAGAGATCCCTACGCACGGTACCTGGAAGGTGGGCGGTGAGTATGGTGACGATGAAGTTGACGAACTCGCCGCGAGGGTGTCGAGCGCTCTCACCATCGGGGTCAACAGGAACGCTAGGGAGCAGCAGCAGGGACTCAAGCGCGGCGGCGCCTGAGGTGGGCGGGATCTGCATGAGGCTGAACACTATGTTGAGCTCTCTGAGATAGTGTGCATGATCCTCAGCTGGGCTGAGAGGGTTTTCCTTTTGGTATGTGAAGTGGTGACTTGCCACTTGAAGAAAAGGTCCTGGAGTTCTTGGGTGGGACTGGCGTTTTTAGCATATTAGGAGTCCTGTGTCTGCGCTTCTGCGCTTTGGAACCTCCTTTTCCCTCTCCTCTTGCACTTGCATTGATAACGGACACGGGAAGCCAGGCAAAGTGTCGGAGGTAGTTGTGTTGTAGAGTAGAGTTTTGATAATTCACAATATGGCTATTCGTTTTGTCTTTTTGATGCCGCCTTAGGCGGGTGGCTTGATAAGTAGATTGTGCGGACACTCCCTCATTTACTCTGAATATATTTATTTGCATAACTGCAAATGCCTCCTTCCGGTACCAGTGAATTGGTATGGCTTTGTTCCAAGTCGACCTGCTGAATTGTTTGCATAACGGGTGCAGACCCGTCTTTGTCGTATCGAGCACCCGGAGACCGGAAACAGCATTTCGCACCCGGTTGCAGTTTGTCATAAAATGTGAAGACCTCAATGCAAGACCACGGTGCTATTGTAGATGGGCTTCGCTCAGCGAGAGCAGGATCGATTCCACAGCGCTCCTCGCCCTTCAACAGTTGCTGCGTGTTGGAAGAACATTGCAGCCGTGATCCTGACAGACTCGTAGTAGAAAAACCTCCGGCTCACCAAGAGCACCCGCCATCACAATGCCACCAGCCAAGGGCCCCAAGAAAGGGGTTGGCTTTTCGAATGTATATTCGATGAACAACCAACCACCCCCGCCACCTCCCGCCCGGAAGCCTGGCCGGCAGACGGCAAATGATCCTCGAGATGACCGGCCAAATGTGCCGCCACCACCTCCTGGGCCCAGCAACCCAAGGCGCCCGACTCTAGCGCCTGCACCGTTTTCCGGGCCGAGATTGTTGCAAAACACCGGTATTTTCAGCGGGACAGGAATCAGGGATTTAGATTTTATGGAGAAAGGAGAGCCGCCAGAGACCCCGAGCAAAACGAACAATGACACCACTGCTGGAGTTCAGGACCGAGTAGAACCTGAAATGACCGACGAGCAACTCTTGGACGTGTTCCGGAGGCGAGTCGACAACGCCAGAGGGGGAAAGACCGTGGAGGAGCGCAAGAATGAGCTGAGGCAGTCGTTAAAGCCGTGGATGGATGCCGGCCTCGGGTACCGGGGCCCGAAGCGGCCGGGGCTCTTCCTGCCCGACGGGACTCGCAACCCGGCCAGGCCGGCGCGAGTGACAATCCCCGCCAGCCCCGGAGCGATCTCAACTGGAACTGGGACAGCAACCGCCGGTCCTGGGAAGGCTCCGAAAGGCACCAAGGAGCCTCAGCCAACCAGCAAGGGGAATAAATCCTCAAAAGGCACCGGAATAAGCTCCACGATCGGCAAGGGGAATAAATCCTCGACCGGCACTGGGACAAGCTCATCGACCGGTACCAAGGCACCTCCGCCTCCAAAAGCTGGCAAGGGGCCACAACCCTTGCCCACTGGCAAGGATTTATTGTCCGGTACTGGGAAAGTTTCATCCCCCGGCATCAGGAAAGGGTCAACGAAAAGCAAGCAGCCGAGTCCCCTCAGCAGGCCTCCGATCAGGCCGGAAGATGCTGAAGAGGTTGTCACTGACACCCCCACTGGGACGGACGGGGCTGGCTGGCGACGCCGGGACGATCTTTTCGAAGCTCAGGTCATGGACGGGGCTGATGTCAGGTTCTTCGCCAAATCGGAGCGGATTTCTGCAGTGCCCAAGCTTGCGAGCACGATAGATTACAACACAGAGAATTGGGAATAGGAGCACCGTGGAGCCAACGCAGCACAAGGGCGTTAGAAGGCGTTGAAAGGCGATGCGTCGGGCCAGGGGTAGGATCCATGTATGTCTGCAGGACCTAAAGCATTGCGAGAGGGGGTCCGAAGTACAGCAGCGTCTCCGTGTGGGCTAGCTTCTCAACTTCTCAGAAAGGCTGTGTGTTGTTTATCGTATTGGCGGCATTGTGTGGATGTGCTCCGAGCAGCGGCCCACGTGGCCCCCCTGAGAACTGGTTCAATGTTGGGACGCAGGCAGAGAAAGATAGCTAATTGACAATTGTTTGTGACCGAGTAAGGTGGCCCATCAGCTTCCGTACTGTGTAAGCTGTCCCGATGGAGCTCTGAGAAGCAGAGACGCGAGTGTAAATGTAGAGAATGTGCAGGGGTATCTTGGTAGTGGCTAATCCTAGTAGATCCTGGGTTAGGGTTGGGCACACGGGCCATAAACTTGTGACATTCTCGAGCGCCTTGGCACTGGCAGCCACACATCACAGACTTCACTCTCTTCTCTTCTTTAGAGGGCCCTCACTGCAATTGTCATATCACAGATTCTAATTCTACTTCAGCTGCATCAACTGGATTGAGATCCTTGGAGTGCTGGTAATTATTATCAGATTCATAATGGTTGGTTACTTGCCAAAGCCTACCTCGTGATCGCCTCCTTTAGCTGGGTGACAGCGAGCGCTGCCAATTGCAAAAAGTTGTCCGCGTTGATCAGTTGCAAGGAGCTGATCTGAGAACAAAAAGTGCGCTTCCACCAATTTCTTACCTCGATAGTCATCAAAGAATCAATGCCAAGGGATTCCAACGAGACGGACGCCAAAACGCCTTCGTCTGCATGGTCCATTTCTCGCGATAACAAACTGAAGAGCCGAGACGCGATCTCGCGTGCAATCAGGATCAATGTGGACGGACTATCCAACTCGGTCGGTTCGCTCCGCAGATGTGAGATGAAGTCGGTCAGGCCATTAGATGACGGGCCTGGCTCGAATGCTGAATTTCGGGGCCCAAGCACGCCAGGGCGGAGCATCACCATTCTTGCGTCCCTCTTCCACACAACCGAGTTCCGGGCATCTTCCAGCGGTATTTCCACGTCGAAGCCGACGCCGACTTGTCCCTGAACCAAAAGACCACGGTCGATGCCCCATCCTTGGACCTGGGAGGGCGTGACCGTCGAGCTTAGCATGGCAAGCTGTACAGCTTCCAGCATCTGCCTCTCGGATACAAGCCGGGCCCCAGATCTCGCCATTGTGTCCTGGATTTCTTTGACTCTGCTGACGTGGCCAACGTCCTCGACGGGTCCGATATCGACGACGGAACACGGCAGACCAAGTCCCCGGCGGTACTGGGCAAAAGCGTCGAGGAACGAGTTGGCGGCGGCGTAGTTGACCTGGCCGGGATGACCGCAAAAGCCAGACGTGCTGCCGAACAGGACGAAGAAGTCTAAATGCGACGACTTTGACAGAGAGTTGTGTATGTTCCACAACCCACGGATCTTGGGATCGGTCGCTGCTCGCCATTTGCTAATGGTCATGTCTGGGAGCGCGGCATCAGCCAAGACCATAGGGAGAAACAGGACACCAGCAATGGGCCTCTGTGTGCTCGAGGACACTTGAGATATGGCTTCCCGAACCGCATCCTCGTCAGTTACATCGCAGGCCACGGCTGTGACCTTGCAGCCCATTTCGAAAAGCTCCGCTAGCACGTCACTGGCTGCCTCGCTCTCACCACCAGATCTAGAGAGCATGGCCAGCGATTTAGCACCGTGGGACGCCATCCACCGTGAAATAGATATGCCGAGGCCACCAAGGCCACCAACCAGCAGATAAACCGCTTCCGGATCAAGCCCAGGCGCGGGAACAGGAACCGACATCGACACAGACACGCCGTTCTTGGGTTTAGGCTTCAATGCCGCGCAGTGGCTCATGTCGACAACGACCTTGCCGACGTGCGATGGCTTCGAAAGCTGGCGGAAGGCATCCTCGACCTCGACGCAGCCAAAAAGGCGTAGTGGCTGCACTGGTGCGATGGCCTTCTGCTTGTACAGATCGAGTGTCTGCTCTAACAGTCGACCCACGACAGACGGGTTCTGGACAGCCAGGCGCGCCATATCGACGGCCACGAAGGAGCGGTTGTCGTCGAAAGGCGCCATGGCTAGCCTGGCACGTGTGAGCACGTCCCGTTTGCCCAGCTCGACGAGGGTTCCGCCGCCGGCGACGCAGCCCCACGACGCGTGCAATAGGTCCCCCGAGAGCGAGTTGAGTACCACGTCGACGCCGCGCCCGCGCGTCGCCCTCATGATGTCGTCCACGAACGAGTCGTCCCTCGAGCTGAAGATATTGCCAGGCGGCAACCCATGCTGCTCGGCGAGGAACTCTCGCTTTTCGTCGGACCCTGCTGTCGCGTATATGTTGGCTGGCACTACTCCCAAGTGTTGCGCGACTTGAAGGGCGGCGAGGCCCACGCCGCCGGCGCCGCTATGGATCAGCACTGTTTGGCCCGGGGCTAAGCCTGCCTTGTCGGCCAGTCCGCGCAGCACGGTCGTGAAGACGCAGGGCATGCCCGCCGCTTCACTCATCGACAGGCATTCGGGGATGCGGGCGCACAGCCGCGCGTCGACTTCGACCTCAGTAGAGAAGCAGCCCGCTTGCGGCGCGAATACGGCGACGCGGTCCCCGACGCTGAAGCGCTGCTGTGACAAGACCGAGGTGCCCACGGCCGTGACGACGCCTGCGGCCTCGCAACCCAGCGGCAAGCCTTGATTTTGTGCGTCTTCTGAGCCGGGGACGCCGAGAAGGCCCATAGCAACCATGACGTCTTTGAAGTTGAGACCGGCGGCCTGGACCCGGACCCGGACCGCTCCAGATGGGAGTGGTGTTGTAGGCGGAGGGCGAGACTTGGTCTGCGGCACTGAGGTCCACTCCAGACCCTCCAGAGACCCGGTACGCGCAGCCCTGAGCTTTGTGATGGCTGTACGGCCGCCCTCTCCGTCGGTGGCACTGATGTGGATGGCACTGCGGATTGATACGGGGCGGGCACGCGGGATTACGATCCCCTTCGCTACGGAGCAGTAGGCTAGTTCCATATCTTGGCCTGGTGCGCCATCACTTGTCTGGTTGTTGTCTTCGGCGAGGCCTTTCTGGACAAAAGACTGAATGGCTCGAATCGCATGCTCTAGTCCCACGGAAGGCTCGTCTCTGCCGCCATCGTCAACTAAATCAAGCTCGAGGGTAGCAAAGCGCACTCCCAACTCGGCTCGGACGGTCCTTGCAATCCCCAGGCATTGTGCGAAGCTCGGGTTGCTTGGACGGATCTGGCACGGTTGTGTCAACCACAGCAAGCCGGCGTTGGCGGCCTGCAACTCGCCGGCTAGACGCTGGAAGCCGGCGAGCTTCTCCTCTGTGAGGTTGTGAAACCACCCGTCCTGTAGGCAGAGGTCGATGGCGGACACGAAGACATGTCTCTGGTGGCTGTCAGCAGAAACGTCTAGGGGCTGACAGATCGACACCCGAGAGACCCGGTGCCCGTGATCCAGGAGCCATCCTTCCAGCTCCCGCACAATAGCAGGAAGGCTCTCGGCGGCGCCTTCACACTCGGGCGGCACCAGCAGCGTGACTGTGGGACAGGAGGACTTGGCCCCAGCCTCAGCGTTGGCGGTGACGGGACCGGGGCGGGCGAGCATGGTCGCGTTTAGCTGCAGCGGCGCGTCGGCATCGAGCGCGACGAGCTCTGGGGCGCCGAACCCGGCGTCCACCAGGCGGTGGTGCCAATCCTCGGGCGCCAGGTACGGCTCGTTGGCGCGCGCATCGGCCTGCCCCAGCCACCAGCCTGGTAGGAAGCCCATGACGAAGTTGATCCACTTGGACTGGACGCCGCACGCCAGCTCCTGCAGCAGCAGCCTCCCGTCGGGCCGCAGCAGCGTCCGCACGTGGCGCAGCGTCTGCGTGAGATAGGGTGTCGCGTGTAGCACATTGCTGGCAATGACCAGGTCGTACTCGCACGTCCCGAAGCCCTGCTCCTGCGGCGGGCGGCTGATGTCCAGCACGCGGTACTCCATCAGCTGTGGCGGCACCAAGGTGGCAAACCGCTTCTTGGCGGCTGGGAAGAAACCAGCTGAGACATCGGTGAAGACGTACTTGCCGAATGTGGCCCTTTCATCAGTCGTGCTGTTGCTACCTGTCTCCTCCACATCCTCCTCCTTCAGGTCTCGCAGGACTCGTGCGGTCAACCCACCTGTGCCGGCGCCGATCTCCAGAATCTTAAGGTTTCGCCCGCGCTGGTGAGAGAGGAGCTGCAGCAGGCATCGATACGACCACAGAGAATTCATCCAGTCGTAAAGATGGTGGAGGGCGTTGTCCTGGAGGAACAGGTCCAGGGGGCTTGCATCGCCACTGAAGAGCGCCCGGGCATGGGTATGACATTGCATGACCAAGCTGGCCGCGGCTGCTCCTGAAGTTCCCTTCAACTTTCTTGCCAAGCTCTCAATTCTGCCGGGCGCCTGTCCTGATTCCCAGCTCGAGATCTTATCTTGATCAGGAGTGTAGCTCTTGAGCCAGTCGTACTGTTTGGCAAGGTGCAGGTTCGACCCGGCTATGGATGGCCCCAATCCGAGTCCCGAAGGAGGAGGAAGTTTCTCCTTGAGTTCCAGTGCGCAGAGAGTGAAAAGCTCATGGAGATCAGAGTGTGTCTCCTCAAATCCCTCCGCGGTCGCTCTCTTTACCAGAGCCGAAGGACTGATCAGATCGATGTCTGCTTTCCAGACAAGCTCGATGGCGCCGTGACTCGTACTACCACTCTCCAGACTCTCCACTGGGGCAAGACGAATCCCCCTGAAATAGGATATTGGACGCTGTGCAGCGTTAACATCCTCGTGCGAGTCTATTTTGCAGACTGCATCACCACAACCAGGGCTCGACGCCTTGACCATGATTTGAAAGTCTCCGACGTGCTCTCGGCCCACGAAGATCTCGTCAATTCTCACTGGGAGCCATAGTTTCTCCAGTAGACGTGTCTGTCCGCCATGGGCGGCGACGATCATTGCCTGGAGAACATGATCGATGGCTGTCGGGTGGACGGCGTAATGACTGCCTGGATGACCCGTTTCTGCACCAGTCTTGAGCAAGGCCTCCTGGCTGCCTTGGAGTGCGACACGAACATGCGCGGCTAGCGACCTTGCCGACGTTCGGATATCGTGTGCGCCCCTGAACCGTGGACCATAGTTGTATCCTACTCTTGTCATGGCCTTGTACCATGTTGCAGGATCGGCCCCGCGCACGCATGTATTCTCTAAGCCGTCTAGCATTCCAATTCCGTACTTGTAACTGCTCACACAGGGCAAGCTCTTCTGGCTGTCGGCTGCTCTGATCCGGCAGCTGCAGTGTTCGGTCCATATGCCGTCGCCATCGTCCCCTTCGGCCCGACCAGGCTGGAAAGACCTGATGGAAATCTCCAACCATGCAGACTCATCAGGTCCCGTCTCCGATTCAGGGCGTGCTTCGGTGACAATCTCGACAACCTGGCCGGGACGCATCACCAAAGCTGTCTGGATATGCAAATCCCGCAGCACAAAGCCCCCTCTTTTCACTCCAGCAGCAGCAGTCAGCTGATGCACCACCTCGCCCGCCATGGCGATATATGCCGCAGCGGGAAGCATGGCATTGCGACGGATGCGGTGGTCAGCGATCCACGGCACCGACTCGAGCGACAGCGCACACCGCCACTGGGGTGCCGCGTCACTGACCTGCCGCACCCGCTGGCCCAGTAGCTCGTGCGAGGGCGCTCGCGGGGCCTGCCATTCCCTCAGGGTCCGCCCCTCGGGCCAGTACGTCCTGGAAAGATCCCAAGGGTACGGTGGGAGGTCTATGAGCGGCTGGGCCGCGTCGTCGTCGTCGGGCACCGGCAGCCGCACCAGTGTGCCCAGGCAGTGCAGGTGGCCGACGGCGGCGAGCAGCTCGCACGAGTCGTTGGATGCACGTCTGAGCACCGAAGTGTACGAGACCTGCAACCTGTTCTCGTCATAGATATGCTTCAGCGGACCGGCGAGAGCTGAGTGCGGGCCAACCTCGAGGTGTACATGCGCGGCCGACGGCCCCTGGACAAGCCTGCTCACGGCCTGACGGAAGAGAACAGGGTTTTCAAGATTTCGTTGCCAGTACTCAGGTCCGAAATCCTGGGCTTCTGAGAGAGTTTCGCCGGTCACGCTGGAGATGAAAGGCACCTTTGGCTGCTGGGGCTTGACAAACGGCGTGACGAGGGATCGGTATTTGTCACCGATTTCCTTCATGTGATCTGTTGTTAGACGGTGGCCGTATTAGCACCGGGATGAATCTCAAATGGTCAACAATAACCTTAGAAGGTGAGCCTGACGTACCGGAGTGGTAGGCCGCGTCGACTTTCAAAAGACGCACAAAGGCGTCTTTGTGGGTCATCTTGATGGTGTCGAGCACGTCCTGGAGGCCACGGGCGTCGCCAGACAGGGTGACGCTCCTGTCGCTGTTCTCACAGGCAATGCTGACGCCAGGAGTGGCCTTGACAAACCGATTGACCTGCTCCCTTCCCAGGCCGACCGCGGCCATCGATCCCTTCCTCTTTAGCCTGGACTGGACCACCCATCCGCGGTAGAACGCGACGATGACGGCCTCCTCCATCGACAGAACCCCGGCCGCAAATGCTGCTGCGATCTCGCCGCTAGAGTGGCCGACGACGGCTGCCGGAGGGATGTCATAGCGCGCCAGGTGCCGCACCAGGGCGACCTGCAGCGCCGTGCACGCAGGCTGCGCAAACTCGGCCTCGCCCAGGCGCGAGCTGCCCTGGGGCCGAAGCAGCTCGCCGGAGAGGGTCCATCTCGGGCGGTGGGAGACGGGCAGGAGCCGCTTCAGTGCGGCGTCCATGTATTTGATGTCCTCGCGAAACTCGCGCGAAGTCTTGATCAGCTCGGCGCCCATGCGAGGCCACTGCGCGCCCTGGCCCGTGAAGACGAAGACGGCCCTGTTCGCCCCCGGAACGGGCCTGATGGTTGGCCACGCGGACGTGTTGAGATCATCAGGCTGCTGTGCGACGCAAAAGGTCCGGAAGGGCAGCGTGGGCCGGCCGTGGGCCAGCGTGTATGCGAGCCGGTCCAGGGCGGCAGGGTGACGGTGCAGGTAGTCCTTGTACTGCTCCACCATCATCTTGAGTGACTTCTCGCTGCCGGCGGACAAGACCAGCAGCGATGCGCCCTGTTGTCCTGGTGGCGGCGAGGGGGGAGGGGAGTGTGGTGATGGTGCTGGCGCTGGCCGGGACGATCCGCCCGCGATGAAAGAGGCGGCAGAGTCCAGGATAATCTTCCCAACATGGTCAGCACCCAAGTTTCAACAGCGATGGTCTGGTCATAGGGGCCTACATGGACATTTGTTCCCCCTATCCCGAAGCTGTTTATGCTGACCCTTTCGAGACGGTCAGTGGGCCAGGGAATGCGTGCGGTGGGCACTTGTAAGCTTGCCGATTTGAACGGGACTACAGGAATCGTCGTCTTCGTCAGCACTTGTTCGATTGTTGCGGAATTGTCTCTATCTACGTGCTCGGAACATACTCCTCGGATTAGGGCGCTTGAACTTGATGTTGGGTAGGATTGTCCGACGTTCAAGGGCAACAACAGACTTGATGATGCTCGTCAGGGCTGACGCACCCTCAGAATGGCCGAGATTTGGTTTCACCTTCATACTTCACCGTCAGCAGTTCAACAGCCCCTCACGCCACCAGCCGTCAAGAACATACCGAACCTATATGGATCCCCGTGTCGCCAAAGACGGCGCCGACCGAGCACCCCTCGACCATGTCGCCGACCGCCGTGCCGGTCCCGTGGCACTCTACAAATGCCGTCTTGCAGACGTCGTCATCATCTATGCCGGCCTGTCTGTAAGCCGCCCGGATCACCTGCTCCTGAGCCTGCGGGCTGGGCGTCGTGAGCCCGGCCTTCTTGCCGTCGCTGTTGGTGGCCGAGCCCCGGATAATGGCCCGCACCGGGTTGCCGTCGCGTATTGCGTGGTCCAACCGCTTGATGAACAGGCAGCTGGCCGCGTCGGCCCTCGCGTACCCGTCGGCCTCGGCGTCGAACGTCTTGCACGATGCGTCCGGCGACAGCACACCCTGCTCGGCCATGAGTCGCGCGAAGCCGGGCGATAGAATCAGGTTCGCGCCGGCGACCAGGGCGCTGTCGCAGTCGCCGGCTCGTATCCCCTGGCAGGCCAGGTGCACGGCTAGACCCGCAGCTGAGCAGGCCGTCCGGAGCGTCATGCTGGTGTTTATCGTCATGCGTTAGCAATATCACGGGCCAGCACACGTCGTGGCGCAAAGGCTCAAAGCCTTTAGTGGCACGTCACGCACCTTGGGCCATGCAAGTTCAGGGCATAAGATACACGATTCGCTTGTGCGAAAGGCATGTATCCTGTGAGACGATACGGCCCATCATCCAGGTCGTCCTTGGAGTGCATCTCCCGCCAGTCATCCCCGAAGCTACCCACGTAGCAACCAATATTTTTACCCTCCCAGTCTCTCTCTGCTGCGCTCTCGAGTGCCTCCCAGGAGACCTGGAGCAGCAAGTGCTGTGTCGGGTCCATTTTTACCGCCTCTTTCTGGCTCATTGGGAACAGGGACGGATCATAAGCAGTCACGTCCTTGTTCGACAGCCAGTAGCCCTCATGCGCCGGCAGTGTTTGGCTCTTGCCGTCGACGTTCCTGAAAGAATGGGATTTTGAGTCGAATCTCTCCCGCTCCGGAGGGGCGCGTGCGTCCCTCCCTGCGGCGAGGAAGTCGTAGAGTGCTGATGGGGTGTCCAGCCCGCCTGGTAGCCGCATGCCAATGCCGCAGATGGCAATCGGTACTGCATTCGAGGTTTCTGAATTTGTGACATTAGAGCCAGCATTGTCCTTGGCGTAGGGAAGCCCTTCGGGCTCAAGTCTAGGGGCTGTGCAAGTCATAGCCTTGTGGGTTTCGTCTCTTGGTTTGCCCTTTTTTTTCCCTCCCTGCAGCTGACTCTGTGACTTCGATACCGTATGATGATAATAGGGACCACGAGGTTGATTCCCAAAACAGGGAGCAAGATTACAATATGCAGCGCTTGTTCATATGCTCATGTAGCCCCGGAGCATGCGATAATGGGTCGATCGAGTGCTACGTCGCGTACTTAGTATGTCTACCTCAAAGTTGGCGTGCGACTCGGTCCCAAATACTCAGATCAATTAATTTCCCGCCAGCCAATAAAAATGTTCGGAAAAAGGTAGTGGTTGTACCTTATCATTGTTGATGCCGTAGCGACAACTGTGCACGGTTGCGGTCCGACCGGAGCGAGGCGACGAGATCCCGTTGCTAGGACTCACAACTTTCCTGACACACTGCCCCCTCACTACTTACTACGTACTATGTGTGTACTTTTCTTGACCCAATCCAACATTGTGGATGAACTTTTGTGTCAATTCTGGCCTTTTTGCACTGACAAGCCACATCTCGACGAGGATTCTACTCAAACGTTGACTGGGTGATCAGCATCAGAATCAGCCACTTGCACAAGACGTCGATGACACCAATGGAGAGATTCAAGGCGCTGCTTTCGTCCGGAAAAAACAAGGGAAAGTACAAGGCCGTCTCACGGTCTTCTTGTGACAACGATGAGCCGCGTGAGGCGTTCGCGGAGGATGAGATTGTTTCGTTACGGCGAACCATCTGGTATCTCGGCGCGAGCCTCGCCATTGTCAGCTCGGCGCTCTTCTTGACCCTTGCCTACATAGCAGCCAACGGTTCTCATAATTATATAAAAGATCATGGGAGTGTGCAACGCATCGGAAGTGATCCAAATGGATTTGTGCCTCCTGGTAAGAATCCTCTCGTAACCGGAAACCCATGCTGGTAAAGTTAGATCGGCTGCTCACCTCCACGGCGCAGAAATTGGTGAGCCGCCAAGATGGACGTTCTTGGCCGATCCGAGCTCGCCCTACTATATCGAAGAGGACACTTTCTACGATATCAACAAGACTATCGCCACAGTCACCAGGATAAAGTCGATCCACAACTGTAAAACAAACCACCGCTTGTCCCTTCCCACGCCCCTTCCTAGCATACACCACTGCAGACTACTGACACGACAGTTTCGCAGCGTCAAATGTGCTTGTGAACGGGAACTACGCAGACTGGGTGCACCCGGACGGCAACGTCACCAAGCTTCCCCCCTACTATTCCACCGTCTCCAACCGGCAAACGTACATCATCCGCGGGTTCCACCAGATGCACTGCCTTGTGAGTTGTGCCCACTGTCATCATCACGAATCACGATTTAGTATTCCAACCAGCTGGCTGATACACCCGATAGCTGAGCATTACCGAGGAGTACGGGTTCCGCTACCACAACATGTCGTCGCAGTGGTCGCCAAAGCACGTAGCGCACTGCCTCAATGCCATCCGCGAGGCCATCATGTGCCTGGCCGATGCGACTCCGATGTCCTACGTGAACGGGTTTGCCGTCGGCCATGTCACCGACGACCAGCAGTTCATGTGCAGGGATTGGACGGCGCTTAGGCGGTGGGCCAACGAGCCCGAGAGGGGGATCAGGTACAAGAACCTGTCGCCTCCGGGCTCCAAGCTCGACAAGAACACCGAGATCATCCCGTTCCCTCAGCTTTCGGAGGAGGAGAAGAGCGGCTTGGCCTAGTTGATCACCTACTTCCTGGATCAATCGATTAAAGGCTTTTGTCTAATGGATTTGTCTCCACGCACAAGTAGTATGAAGTACTAAAACTATGCGATGTAAAAGTTGAGATGCCAAATACGTCGCCAGCAGTACTGGCTGTTATAGGATTGCTTTGTGTGTCCCCACCAGAGAAGTACTCAGGTCTATTTCTGTAACGCGACGTCGAGAAATCGGAACGAAACTCTTGAAGTCCGCTCTGATCTCCTGGGGAAAATGGTCCTCTCTGAAAATCTCCTCAAGCCATCAATTCCAAGTTTACACATATTTGACACGCCCATGTAGCAAACTATGAACGTATCACTTGAGAAATCCCGTCACGGGAACAGACCATGCCAACCCTATACTGTAAGTGCTCGAATTCATCCAACCAGACAATCCACCTCGAAAGGCTCATTATAAACTCTCGTCACATTTGGCGAGTCGATCTCCCAGGAGAACGGGATGCCGTTGTATACCAAACAGTGCTGTATGTGTTCCTCCTTCCTCGAAAGGCTGTCGAGGATCATTGGCGTCCTCCTGGAAAGATGTATAGCCCGGTCCAAGACATAGCTGCAGTGGAGGTGGTGCACCTTGCCGTCGCTGAAGATCTGCGGGTGCTCCCCCGACACGGCCACTTCCCACGGGACCTCGTTGACTCTCTGCTTCTCGTACCAGAAGGTAGTGTTCTTCCGCTGGAGAAGGTCGAGGTAGGTCTCGTGCATCTCCTTGTCAAAGCACCGGGGGTGCATCCAAGTCGACAGGATGAAGTCGTACACACACCCGCGCCTCTTGGATTCGTGCCAGTCCGGGGAGCAAAGGCCAAGGGATACGGGCTCCGACGGGGAGGTGAACGGCATTGGCATCTCGTGGGTCATCCTCCCGACGAGGAACATGCTCACGCCGATGATGGTTGGCAGGAGGGCCAGCCTGCATATTCTGGCGACCCTGTCTCGAGAAGACCCTTTCCTACGGGCAGAGTGCTTGTGGCGGACTGCAAAGTCGGTACCATTCGAACATTCGATGCCGTCTTCGGTTTTAGACAGTAAGTTCACCTCCTCCATAGTGACTTCCTCCATCGTGATGTGATATAAACCGTTCGCTGGCACGCGGTCGCTCCTCATAGACTTGGAGTAAACAAAATCCTTGTAAAATTGAACCTGCGCAGTTGACAACAGCAGTTGGCTCCAGACTGGCACGGACGGGCCTTGCAACTGACTGTCAAGTCTGTGAGCCGACATTTGGCAGAACCTACTAGGCACTGCTCCCTGTGCCAAGCACATAATCGACAATGCTACCCTGCATTGCACGACTCCATCGTGGTCATACTATGCATGGTTCGACTCGGACCGTCGGTACGTAGTGAACGCAATTTTGAGTTGCAGGCGCTTTGCAGACCGAACTTTAGAAAACCGAGCAAGCAGGTTAGATGCGTGAGAACATTGAAAAGCTACCAGACGCTTTATAAACTTTTCAATATACTTTCCCAACTTCCAATAGGCTTTGTTTAGTTGCTTTCTATCTGCACACCCTTGTGCTTTTTTCTGGGTTTGATACTCTGCTGAAGACATCACCGAATAGGAACACCAAGTTGTAAGATTTTGCCAAGAGGTCGCAGCTTGCAGTCAGAGGGATATGGGTCTCGCAAATCCAATCCTCATCCAGGATGTGCCTCGCTCAAGGAACGAGTCTCCGCCGTTGTTCCTCATACACGACGCCAGTGGGCTTATCACAAGCTACTACAAACTTGGCCCGGTAGGTCGTAAAGTCTACGGCATCTGGGATCCCAAGTTCGACCAGGATGGTATCGGAGGCTGGCAGACTGTGCAGGACATTGCAGACGCATACCTCCGCCTGATACGCCGGGTCCAGTTGCGCGGTGAAATCGTTCTTGGTGGCAAGTCACCCCTCTCGCATCCTTGGGCCGTGCCTCGTTGTGACAGGTAAATGTAGCTAAATCTTGGCGGCATAGGTTGGTCCTTCGGTGGAATCGTTGCAGTCCACATGGCCCACATGATAGCCCGACAGGGCAGAGGGCTCCGCGTGTCAAAGATCATCCTCGTCGACTCGGTGTATCCGCGCTGCGAGAGGCCAGAAGCCCGCAAGGGCCCACCCCACGCAAGGCACGCGCCCATGCTGCCGGGCATCAGCGAGGATACGCGAAACAAGCTGCTTACGGCGCTGATGAGGGCAACCTGCATTTCGGACCACTGGGACCCACCAGCTTGGTCAAGGCGCACGGAGCGGGCGGCCCGGGTCGTCAGGACGGCAGGGGAGAGGCCGGCGCCGCCGCCCGTGGTGCTCATCAGAGCAGACGGCCTGGTGCCGACCCTGGAGAGGAACGAGATGTGTCCGCTGGACAGGACGAGGTTCCTGCCTCAGCTGGGGTGGGAGGACATGCAGGAGGGGTTTGTTTCTGAGGTGCTTCACACGTCGGGCAACCATTACAACATCTTTGATGAGGCTCATGTGCCCATGATCACATCCTGTATCCGGAAGGCACTTGACATGGTAATAGAGTAATGCATAACCTCAAGCTTCTGTATGCCGCCATGCCCGGCCCATGACTGCAAAGACAGGTCCTCTCTGTGAAAGAAATTATCCTCTACTAGAATGCTGTGGAAAATTGCCTGGATTGTTGATTTGGAACATACACTTTCTATTATCTGCCAGGATGCTTTGATCATTCACACAAGGGGCCAGTATGCCTACTCAGTCCACTGTAAATAGTCTGAACACCAATGTATTATTAATTATTCTACACCGTCTTTCCACACCGGCCAATGCCACAAAACGCCTTTTTGAAGAAACAAAATATTATGAATTAATTTAACGGTTCTCTAAAAGTACTGCAATTTAATAGAAGCCATGATGGCTTGGTCCACTATAATAAGTCTGTCAGGTATCTCTGTCTAGTTCTACATATTGGTCCGGCTCGTCGGCGGGGGCCATGTTCATCCACCGCACCGCCCTGACCGGATCATGCGCCCACTCCCTCAGCGCATAGAAATCCCGACACCATGCTTGTTGATCATCCGTGGTGTGGCCGACGCCCCTATATGAACAGCTGGTCAGCGATTCGTGGTCCATGCTGTTATGTCCCAGAGAAATGGTAGCCTTGCATCCCGTGAATGTACGATATGGGTGTGGCATCAGCCAGACAAGTTACTGCCGCCCGCAGAGTGTTGATGCAGTGGATCACATGTCCGGTCGTCCATTTAGAGCTCATGTTGTGTATTCGGTACCCAATGTCCTCGAGTATGATTGACTGAGAAAGCACAATAGTTAGTCCTCAACATTAGCGTGCCGGTGGCACCTCAGAGCCACCACTGAAGCTTACCACGCAGTGCATCTGGTGAAATGCCCGGATGCTGTATAGCTCTGATCCCTTCCTCGTAACATAAGGTGGCAGGTCATGTGTTTCGTTGTCAAAGCCCCTGTATGTGCTGTAGTCTCCATTGATGTACACTCCAGAGGCTGGGAACACGTCAGCAAGAGCTTCAGGAATCAGACAAAAGAGACGAGCATCCCGCCCTCCAACTTACCGTTGTGGAGTGTTTTGAAATGGCTGGCAGCTTTCCGGACATTCTCGATGCTCTCAAAGACGTCTTCTCTGAAGTGGTGTGCGTCGCTTAAATCGTCGTATTTCGTCCATCTGGGCGGTTCTCCAACACCTGCCGAGTGTTTCAGTCCTTCGGCCTGGAAGTGGGACAGCAGCAGATATCTCCTCGTCCTTTGATAAAATTGTCGAGTGCTGATACACTAACCTTTGGGAACAAACCCGCTCGGATCAGTCCCGAGATGAACACTTCCGGCAGCTCTGCGACGGTGGGAAACAAAGATGAAAAGAACAAGCAAAACGATCACTAGGCCCTGGAAGGAAGCTAGATAGTGGATGCGAGTAAAGCGATTCCTGGTCTTGGCCCAATCGTCCGCAGCGTCCAGCCTGCCTTCCCGAGTAGCATTATTGTTTTGAAGCGCATCGCGTTGACTGCTTTGAGTAGAATCTTCAATCTGGTCACTTGCTTCCACAGGAAGATACTTGGGCCGTGCTCCGAGACGCGATTTGAGCTTTTCCATCTTGAGGCCTAGCAACAGCTTGACAACACAAAAGGCTTTGACTTCCCTGTCGGTTCTTTTTCCTTCACCTTTTCCTTTATTTTAGTCTTTTTGGCTAGCAAAGGCAGAGACGTTGACGGACGTCAACTCACAGTGATATCTTCAAGTTGCGGAAATAATAGGCGAGCAAGCTCTGGCGGGACGACAAATATCACGTGCTTAAGACGGACATCTCTCAGTTACTGGAAGGCAACCGCACCCATACCGCGATACTGCATCCGTATCTTGGTTCGATTCGAAGAATGTGGGGTGTTGATTCTTCCGCACCCAGCAGCGGACCGAACTCAATTTCTCCCCACACCAGGATTGTGCCCCTGTTCTAACACGATCGGTTTTCTGCAGGCATCTGGCTTGCCCGAAATTAGTCGCTGTGTGTTGGCTCGGACCGAGCAATGCGAATGTGCAGCGGCTCGTGGGCGATGCTTTGGGCGTACATGGCTAACGGAACGCTTAATCGCGCCTGACGGTCTCAAGGCATCTTCTTCTGCAGTAGAGTCATTTTCAATTGCAAGCACAGAGTTGCTACGTTCCCAGTTCTCAAATGTGACTGTGGAGTGGGTGATGCGACACTCGTTGGGTCTCGAAACCCAGCTTCATCACTAACTGACCATCTCAACCTCCTGAAACTAGCGCATTTCTCTTTTACGGCAGGCTATAGGGTCTTTCAATTGGATTGTCCGCAGCCCTGTGGAAGATATTGAAGCTGTCTGTAGTCATCATGAAACAAGATCAAGTCACCTGGGCATCGATGCCCAGGAAGGATCAGCTTTTGATCCTGTGCTTCGTCCGCATCGCGGAGCCAATATTGAGGATTTCCGTTTACGTACGTACCTGAAGCCTTTACCCAAGCCGTCGCTTTTCCAATCGCTGCCAGTCTACTCAATACGCCCGACTGAGTGCTTAGCGATTTATGGCCCACTTTGTTATTTCCTTAATTCGGGAGACATTGACCGCATGCACAGATATATCTCTACTACCAACTCCAGTTCATTAGCCCAGAGCTGTCAGGCGAAGAGATCATTAGGCAGGCCGCCTACCTGCAGGCAGCATTCTCACTTCCACAATGCTTCGCGTCACCGTTCTGGGGAAAGCTCGCGGATTCTCCGAAAGGGGGAAGAAAATTGGTTATGTTGATTAGTTTGTTTGGCTGCCGTAGGTGCTCCCTTTGTAATCCAATGGCCTTCCTTCAAACTGGGCTGCGTCTAAGATCACTCTGTTCGGACTCCTAGTCGTCACCGGCCTTTCGTTTGGCTTCATCACGAAATTCTGGCACGCCGTGGCCTTGCGTGCTGTAGAAGGCATCTTCAATGGCAACGTCGCCATTGCGAGGACCATGATATCAGAAGTGGTCAAAGAGAAGAAGTTAGTTTCAAGAAGCCTGTCTCTCCAGGTATGAGCTGAGACCACGTACTGACATTACTCAAAGATACCAGGCCAGAGCATTTGTGCTATTCCCCATATCCTTTAATATAGCTGCGGCCCTAGGTCCCGTTCTGGGTGGTCAACTCGCCGATCTAGGCAGCAGATTCCCAGACACTTATGGCAATTCTCGGTTCCTGAAGAAGTGGCCATACGCACCGCCAGCAATCGCAAATGGGGTCTTGATGATCATTTCATTGATACTCGTATTCTTTTTCCTGGAAGAAGTAAGTCCTCGCAGCTGCAAACCTTCAACTGACGATCGAATACATGTCGAGCCAGAAACGGATGGAATTCACGACGGAATAGCTGATCTTCTGCTGCTGGCAGACGCACAAGTCACTTCAAGAAAAATACGACCTTGGACTTGCTTTATCACGGCCGATCCGAGAGCGTCTATTCGGCCAGGCCTCGAAGTCTAAGCACAACGACACCCGTGAAAGTGTCATTGCCACCGAGGAAGAAGAGGGACTCATGGAAGAAGGGCCCGACAGCATAGAGCTAGAAAGTCCTGACGACGGAGGCAAAGCAGAATTGGAGAAGCCCAAACCCACACGTATCCTACCCCTGAGACGAATGTTCACTCCCCTGTTTATTCTCACGTTGCTGTCATACTCCATCCAGGAGATACACATTACATCTTACAATACGCTGTGGTCGATATTTCTCAGCGATCCTATTGGCGACAGGAGCGGCAGGGTGCTCCCGTTCCAATTTGGCGGTGGGGCGGGCATGAAACCCAGCGAGCTGTCTCTGTCAGTGTCGTTGACAGGCATAGTTGGCCTCCCATTCCAGCTGCTTGCATATCCTCGTGTGAGCCAGCGTCTGGGGATATTGAAGATGTGGAGGATCTTTCTCCGAGGCTATCCACTTTTATATCTCGTCGTCCCCTTCATTGCCCTTGCTTCGGTGCCCTCCGCTGATGGCCATCACGGAGTGGTAGTGTGGGTCTTCATCATCATTGTTCAGGTCTTCCAGGTCATGGTCTCCAGCTTCGCGGTGCCAGCACAATTGGTACTAACAAACATGTGAGTGCCTTCCCATGGCCACAAATATCGGCCCCATCACTTACTCAGGCCATCTGATGATAGGTCATCGCCGCACCCCACGGCTCTGGCAAGAACACATAGCATCGCATTTATGACCACAGGAATAGTGCGCACCGTCAGTGCCGTGGCCGCTGGCATTGTCTATGGGTATGGCTCGTCACATAACACCACTGAACTAGCATGGTGGATCTTGAGCGCAGTAGCGGTTTCAGGATGTCTGTTGAGCCAAGTAGTACGGGAAGGGAATGGCCATGAAATATGGCTCACCGGTGACGAGGAGTAGCAGACAGATCAGAGTTCAGGAACGCGTAACGGATGGGATGTTTGAAATTTGGGATACTGGAGTCGAATTATTCATCAGTGTTATTAGTTGTATCATTTACGAGGCTCTTCTTCCAACAGAACCACCGCCCCACCCCGAGGACGGGAGGCACAACTGTTCTCAAACCTGCCTAGATGTGTGCGTGCCCAGGTGCGTGTGTAACCACCGCAAACGGACGGGAAACCAATTTTACCCGACACAACAGGGTGAAATTAAGACTGATCATCACTAGATTGAACTAGTAATAAAGTGATTTGTAAAAGATCTCTATTCGGAGGAAGCAGTTGCAATGAACACCCGTTGGAGCCCAGAGTCCCTGAGGCTGCCCCTCGTCCAGTCGACATGACCAAATCCAGCATCGTGAAAAGCCTTCTCCCAAGCTTTTGCATCAACGATTGCGTGCGTCCTCCCGTCCTTGAACTTCCACCAACCCTCAAACAGCCCAAACACAAAATCCGCCCAGCACAGGCGCTCCTGAACCTCCATTACCAACGCCAACCCATCCGGCCTGAGGAACTGTCGCAGGTTTTTCAAGGACTGTACAAGGTCGGCCGTCGCGTGGACGGCATTCACGGCAATCACAATATGCTGGCTGCCCACCATTTCCGCAGACGGTGGCTTCTCGATGTCTTGCGCTTGATATGCCATGACAGAGTCGTACTGCTGGAACTTGCGTCCCGCCTGCGAAACCAGGCCCTGGGAAAGGTCGGTGAATGTATACGTCACCGGCACTCGATCGTGATGGCTTTGGAGAAGCGGTGCGAGGTACTTGGTCGTCCCTCCTGTTCCAGCCCCGAGCTCTAGGATTTTGAGCCCCTGCTTATGTGATTCGTGCACGATCTCGTTTGAGCTGCAGAGGCCGTCAAGCAGGCGGGTGATGAAGTCCTTCACGAGGAGGTGAAATGCCAAGCTCGGATGGCACGGTCCGTAGATGTCCTCGAGGTACTCGCGTCCTTCGACAGACCCGAACACAGCTCTTACGGCATCGGTGCGCCCCGCGTATATCTCTGCAAGGTTTTTGCCAGCGTGCGCAACAAGTTTGTTGAGGGACCTGAAACCGGGATGATTGTGTATGAGTTCGTCCAGGATGTCTTTGGATGGTTTCAAAGGAACAGGCGAATTCGTTCGGGAAAAGGACAGGTCTGAGTTCCTCGTGATGAGACCAGCATCCTCGAGGATGGAGTAGCAGAATTCGAGCTGTTTCTTCACCGCCGGAACAGCCTTGATTGGTCTCAGCTTCTCGCCGGCTTTGGCCCTTGCCAGGTTGCACCGCAACTTGCTGAAAGACTCGATGATGAGAGCGGCGCATAGCTGTATCTGGACCGAATGCACGTTCTCATAGTATCCGGCGAAACCGGCATCGGTGATAATGTCGTCTGTGCGATCCCTCGTGGCCGCAAACGCCGCAGTCGCCAACCCAGACGGCAACTCTAAAACAGCTGGGGAGCGGTCGACTTTTGCTGGTGAGCTTGGTACCGGTATTTCTGCGTACATTGCGCAGTACTAATGCGGAATTCTAAAAGTTGTTGTGAATAGAGAACGTGAAGGTGAAAAGAGCGGTTCGGGATGAGTCTCAATATCGAGTGGGCAGAGTCCAGTTGGTTGCTAATATCACGGCTCATTTACTCAGACAGTCCATGGTATTAGTCACTTCACACCAATGATCTTATGCAAACAATGTGAATCAGAATACTTGCTGTTGTTGGGCAGTGGTGGGCAAGCAACACTCCAGGGCCGTCGGACCGCGCTCGGGACTCGACTCGTTTCTGGTGGCAGCTTTGGTTGACCGCGAAGGGAAGGGATGCAAGGTTGTGCGCAAATCTTATTAAGTAATTACTAACTTTGCCTACATGCCTGTCAGCATTCTCACAGTTTCATTCCCTCGACTATCGCAAAAATGGTTCCACCCGGTTTTTTAAGAGATCGATAATTGGATCCGGAGACAGTTTGTTTGCCTCAAACTCTACTCTGGTTCTCAAATTGTATACACGAGCTTTCCAGCGCTCACCTTGCCCTGCTTCAAGTATTGTAACCCAAATAAAACTCCCTCCAGTCCTTTGCCACCCTCGTTCACTACCTGTCGAGCCGGCCTGAACCTTTTTTCGTGCAGCAGCTTCTCTGCAATCCCCCAAAACATCTTCCCATGCTCAAAGTCCTCTGGCCGTGCTTCTACAACAGTCTCCTTCTCGATTTCCTCGCCCAGTATGCTGTATCCAACCACCGTGGAACACGTAATCTTGGGATTGACCCTCCTGACAATGCTGCTGGACAGAAAGAGCAGACTGCTGTAATGACCGCCCAGATTTGACATGGAAGCGGCACAGATTTGAGCCGACTTGATGGTGGCAATGCAGTCCCACGCAAGCTTGATGCGGCCCTTGGTGAAAGTTTTGATCTGCTCGGCGCAATCCTCTGCCTGGTAGTCAACGCACAAGTCGGCGCCGAGCTCCTTCATGTATGTGAAGTTCCTGGGGGAGCATGTTGTGATGACAGTGCAGTTAGACATCTTGGCGAACTGTATTCCCATGATCCCCGATGCCGTGCTTCCCCCGTATATTAGTATGGGGATTGGCCGTGGAGACGGGTCCATCGGGAGAGGAAGCTTGAGGTCCTGGTAGAGGCCTTGTGCCTATTTGTACTCGTTCTTATTAATCGATGCCAACTTCACTCAATGATGAGGGTGATCATACCACTGGAGCGAGGCCGGAGCCGATGGCACATGCTTCTGTATCGTCCATGTCATGTGGAATCTTGATAGCGAAACAGGCTTTCGCCACCAAGAATTCTGCAAATGTTCCGTCCTGTGGCTGTCTCACGTTCCTGTATGCCCCTCATAGCTGTTAGATAGTATCCATTTTCTGCTGCAGCGTTGGGGAGATGCGCACGATCCGTTGCAAATTCCACAAACTCTGTCACCTATCTTCAAGTCTTTATCCACACCGGGGCCGATGTCGAGGATTATGCCCGCGTAGTCCAAGCCTGGACGAGTGCCAGTTGGATCACCAACCCACATGAAATCAATATGTTTCCAGTCAGAGGGATTCACAGCCACAGCAGTTGTCTTGACCAGTATGAGACCGTCGCGCAGCTTTGGTGGTGGAGAATCAATGACGCCGGCACTTCCACGGCCTTTGATTATAATGGCCTTCATTGTGGCTGGGACTCCTGTTGTCATTTTGATCAACTCAGTCTTTGAGGATTCTGAATTCTGTCGAACGCTAATCAATGAATCGAAGCTTCAAACGAGTTTGTAGATTGTCCACGCGACACAGAAAGACTTCTGGCCTTTCCGATTTTGGCAGTCCGGCTCTCGGGGCCCATCTAGACGCAAGAGAAGCTTCACTTATTAGCCCAAGAGCGCAGAGAGGATGATACTGAACGTTGACTTGATAAGCCAGGAAATAAACTTTCGGGCTTCAAGGTGCGAGTCATCTGTGAATACCGACCGACGTTGGACGAGTATTATGCCGGGAACATGTTCGGACCGTGAGCGAGACACAGAAGGCTTTCACCAGTCTGTACAGAGTACTTTAAGTTCGAAGTCTATAATAGTGCCACAGGTGTATAATTCACGGAAACATTGTATAACCACATCTATTCGGTGCCGCGTTGCTGCCCATTCTGGAAACTGTCTTTGTTCATACGTCCTAAGGGGGCATCACCTCGTGCCCGTTACAGATCCATTTCTATACCAGTCATTGGATTAGACTGCCTGAGTAATATCTTGCTGCCCTCTGCAGGCGCTGGCTGACTGTAATTTTCCGTATCTGGCGCATTGCACGTGAGATATCCCCTGCATTGAAACTCGACTTGAAGAACCCATTCCGACATTACCCAAGTTTCTAACTGAGAGATACAGCAGCCATGTCGTCTTCTGAGGTCCATGATGCAGACCCTATCGTGATCTGTGGCATGGCCATAAGGTTGCCGGGTGGCGTCAAGAACACCCAAGACTTCTGGGACCTTATGATCAACAAGAAAAGCGGCCTCATTCCCATACCAAAGGAGCGATGGAATCTCGAGGGATTTTACAGCTCTGTTCCTAGATGGGGTACCATCCAGAACAAGGAATGCTACATGTTCGACGATCGAGACCTGGCTAAGTTCGATGCTTCCTACTTCTCGTGTGGCGAAAAAGAGATCGAGCGAATGGACCCTATGCAGCGTCAGCTGCTCGAAATCACGCGCGAGTGCCTTGACAACGCCGGCGAGACTAACTGGCGGGGTCAGGAAGTCGGCTGTTATGTTGGGAACTTCTCATCGGACTGGCAGGATGATCTCTCAATGGATCCCCACGCCTCAGGGTTGTACCGTGGCTCCGGATATCTGGACTTCCTGCAGCCCAACAGAGTGTCCTATGAATTTGGCTGGACAGGGCCCAGGTACCCATTCCCATCCCAAATCGTAAGTCCATTCTTGAAACAGAAGTCGCTGACAGACAATTCAACAACAGCATGTTGATTAAAACGGGTTGCTCGTCTTCCATGGTCGCCCTCCACCTTGCCGCCGAAGCTGTTCAGAACGGCACGTGTAAATCTGCGATGGCGCTGGGCTGCAACCTCATCACCTCGGTTATCACGTCCATCGTCTTTACAGAGACCGGCGTTCTCTCGCCCAGCGGCAAGTGTAAAACGTTTGACCTGCTCGCAGACGGATACGGTCGAGGCGAAGCCGTCAACGCAGTCTTTGTCAAGAAGCTCAGCGATGCGCTTAGAGACGGGAACCCCGTCCGGGCAGTCATACGGTCTAGTGGAACGAACAACGACGGTCGGTCCAACGGAATCATGAACCCTAACACGTACCTCCAGGAGGCCCTCATCCGACAGACTTACGAGAAGGCTGGAATTACTGACTACTCAAAAACGGCCTTCTTCGAATGCCACGGTACGGGCACGCCAACTGGTGACCCTCTTGAGGTCGCAGCGGTGGCAAGAATCTGGAAAGATCACGGCGGTGTCAAGATTGGCGCGGTAAGAAACTTGGAGTGACTAGTAACGGGGACTTGTTCAGAGGTCGCTGACTGACACGGACGGGAACAATAGGTCAAGCCGAACGTTGGGCACTCAGAGGGTGCGGCAGGCCTCACTAGTATCATCAAAGGCGTTCTTACCCTCGAGCATAGGGTCATCCCTCCCAATATCTATATGGAAAACCCCAACCCAAGAAGTAAGGTCCTGCTTGAGTCTACGCCTAATGTTGGCCGACCACGGAATATCATGCTGACAACATGAGACAGTTCCCTGGGAGGAAGCAAAACTTAGTGTCCCAACCGAGGCTGAGCCATGGCCTCGAGGCAAAGATGAGAGGGTCAGCGTCAACTCTTTCGGAGTGGCAGGATCCAATGCACACGTGAGTACGGATAGACCCCGCGGCCTGAGACTCTTGCTGACTCTGGGTGGAATAACAGGTCATCCTGGAATCCTACGCGGGCTGGTTAGGACGGAGAAAGGCACGATCCGAGTCGCCGACTGCTAGTGAGGACTCAGGTATAGACGTCCAGGCACCAGGCCCACGGCTCTTGCTGTTTTCCGCAAGTCACATGAACTCGCTCAAGGAACAGGTAGAGCGGCATCAGAAGTACCTGCAGGCGGAGGGAGCAGACCTGGACAACCTGGCCTACACGCTGGGCATCCATCGAGACCATCTCAACTGTCGAGCCTACGCTATCGTGGATGATGACGGGAAAGCATCGTTTGAAACCAGTGCTTTCCACCGAAAGCCCGCAACCTCTCCACGGACCGTCTTTGTGTTTACAGGGCAGGGCGTGCACTGGGCGGGAATGGGCAAAGCCCTCTTGAAGACGAACAAGGTCTTTGGGGATTCAATCCGGAAGATGGACCGATGGCTTCGGTCCCTGCCTGAAGAGCACAAGCCAGACTGGACCATCAGGGCTGAGCTCCTCAAAGATGCCGAGTCTACCAGGCTCGGTCACCGAGGCTTCTCTCACCCGTGCGCCACGGCAATTCAAATCGCCCTGGTGGACCTTCTTGGCAGCTTGGGAATCCGCCCTGAGGCCGTAACAGGCCACTCTGGCGGAGAAGCCGCGGCAGCATACGCTGCTGGCAGTATCAGCGCCGAGGCTGCCATGGCCGTGGCCTACTTCCGGGGCTGGATCCTGATCAACGACAAAGCCGTGCCGCCGGGCACCATGGCCGCTGTTGGCCTAGGGGCCAAGGACGTTACACCATTTTTGATCCCTGGCGTCGTGATCGGCTGCGAGAACAGTCCGGTCAACACCACACTGTCGGGAGATCCGGTGTGTATCCAGCACTGCGTCGACCAGATCCAGCGGCGCCATCCTGATGTCACTGCATCGGTGCTTAAGCTCGAGACTTCTTTCCACAGTCCCTGGATCGAGCCCCTGGGCGAGCCGTACGAGGAGTTACTGAGGCCATATCTGAAAGATGCCAAAGCACCATCGATACCCCATTTCTCCTCCGTTACAGGCAAGGAGATGACCGGTGACGAGTTTGGCGCGGAATATTTCCGCAGGAACTTTGTACAAACCGTGCTCTTCAACACAGCCATGAAGACACTCCTGCAAAGCAACTCGAATAATCTCTTCATCGAGGTTGGCCCCCATCCGGCATTGCAGGCACCGGTCAAGGAAATCTTCCGCGATTACCCTGAGGCGGATCATGAATACATTGCCACGCTGCGCCGAGGCGAGGATCAAAACTTGTTCCTGCATCGCCTGGCCGGCGAGCTATTCACACGCGGCTTGTCCCCAGATCTGAAACCTGTGATTCCAACAGGGGTTGTTCTGACCGACCTTCCCACCTACCCCTGGCTTCACGACAAGACTTACTTTGACGAGCCACGCAACCCATCTCGTTACAAGGCGAGGAGGTACCCTCGACACGACCTTCTTGGAGCCCGCGTGGTCGAGGGAAATGACATTGAGCCCGCATGGAGGAACATGCTGGACTTGAAGGAGGCGGCCTGGTTGCAAGACCATGTTGTGAATGGTCAGGTGGTGAGTCAAAAGCAGTAAATCCGGCGTACAGAGTTCTATTAACTGATGGAATTTGCGTCAGGTTTTCCCCGGGGCTGGATATGCGGCAATAGTGGGCGAGGCCATCCGACAAGTCTCAGATGGCCACGACGCTTACACCATTCAAAACATGAGCATCACCACGCCTCTTACTTTGCCTCAGACTAAGAAGATGGAGCTCTACACACGCCTCATTCCTCAAGACACAAAGGGAGACGATGGGAAGCAGTGGTATGACTTCAAAGTCATGTCCTGCGACGGGCAGCACTGGGTGTCACACTGCAGCGGGCTCATCCGCTCCGGAGCAGACGCCGACATGTCAACAGTGACCAGTTCCCAGGCCGAAATGGAGTTCCCCAGACACGTCCCCTCTGAAGGATGGTACAGCTCGGTTAGGAAGTTGGGCATCGAGTGGCGTACGGCGTTCCAGGGTCTCGAGGACATCACCGCCGACACCGTGACTCGGCAGGCGTCCGCAACGGTCTATGACTTTGACGACACGACCCGCTACGCGGCGCATCCAACGCTACTAGACCAGATGCTCCAGACAAACCTTATTGCCATGACCCATGGGCTGAGGCGGCGCCTTGACAACATCGTGCTGCCCACGTGCATCGGACGGCTGGCGGTGTTGGGGAGCCAGGACCTCAGAATGCGAGTATACGGAGCAATCGATGACAACCCTTGTGGCAAGATCACCGCCCGCTCCGCCATCTATACCGATGAGGGTCGCTTGACAGTGTATATGGACAACCTGGAGTTCGGGGTGCTCCCGGTTGGCAGGAAGGAAGAGCCGCTGCTCGGGTCGTACTTTGAGTGGCGCAAAGACATCACCCTCCTGGACTCGGTGGAACAGGTCGACCCAGGCGAGTCTCGAGTTGCAGGCGCTGATGCCTCCACCACCCATAGGGAAGACTTCAAAGACATTATCCATCACCTTGGGTTCAAGATCCCCGATGCGCGGGTCTTGGAGATCGGAACAGGCGGCACAGATTGGACGCGCTTAGCCCTTGACGCCTTGCACCCTGCGCCCAATCGCCGGTTCTACTCTGGATATACATACGCCAGTGTATCTGACACAGCCGTCGACCGGGTCTCCAAGGCTTTTGAAGAAGCAGATACAGAAGTTCCGGACTTCAGCGTCGGCGGGATGGAGCAAGTTTCCCTCAGCGATGGCGCCGACCTTGTGATCGTGCCGGCACCGACGCTGGCCACCGATGATGACTTCGTCTTGGATGAGCTTGAGGCACTGAAGAACATTGTCCACGCTGGAGGGAGGATCGTCGTCTACAGCCCTAAGATCAAGAACACAGACGCAGTCCCAGAGACGGTCGAGACGGCCTCTCGGCAGCTCAAGAACCTGGGCTTTAGCGTCCATTCTCACTCCAAGACAGGTGTAATCGTCGCACAAGCACAACTAAAGACACAGCCGAAAGAGACTGTTACAGTCCTGTCGGGACAGTCAGCCGAAAGCAAGTCACTCGCGGACCAAGTCAAAACGCACTTCGAGGAGAAGGGCTCTTCCGTCAGACTCTCCCATGAACAGACAGTTCCGAATGACAGCCAAGTCGTCATCTCTCTTCTCGACCTTCAGGATACAACCAACACAGTGCATGCGCTGGATTCCAGCACATTCAGGCCTTTCATAGACAGCCTCTGCAACTTTTCGGGATCTCTGATCTGGGCCCTTCCAAGCGTTCATTCCTCCTGCACCAAACCCCACGCCGCAATGATCCAGGGCCTTGCCAGAACGGTCCGCATGGAGTACAAGGTTGACATAACACTCGTTGAGATCGACCAAGCCTCCACGGCCCGGCCAGATTTTGCCAAGCCCATCTGGAAGATCTGCGAAGGTCTCGACAAGAGGCGAAAGGGGGGCGATGTCGATGCAGACTACGACTTTGCCATTGTGGGAGGCGTAGTCCAGATCCCCCGAATGCAATGGTTTGACTTCAAGGACCCGATGTTGGGCGATGCCATCCCAGCCTCCGCAACAGCGCCGATTTTTAGGCAGGATGTTTCGTATCTCCTCGTCGGCGGCTTTGGTGGTCTGGGCCGCTCGGTCGCCACGTGGATGGTTGAACATGGCGCACGGAGTCTTGTGTTCCTTTCGAGATCTGCGGCTAGTCCTGACAACGAGCAGTTCGTCAAGGAGCTCGAGGGATACCCCGGCTGCACTGTGACGACCGTTTCTGGGGATGTCAGCAGGAACGAGGACGTCTTGAGGACCATCAAGGCTGCACCAAAGCCCCTTGCGGGCGTCTTACAACTTTCTCTAGTGCTCAGGGTAAGTATTTGAGTATTCTCATGCTGTTGAACAAAGGCTCAAGAAAACTGACACGGTTGTTTCTGACAGGATAATGCAACCAAATCCATGACGTTTGAAGAATGGGGCGACGTTGTCCGGCCACGAGTGGACGGCACGTGGAATATCCATCGGTCACTTATCGACGCCAAGGCGCAACTGGACTTCTTCATTGTCTTTGGCTCTGGTGGTGGCCACACAGGGTATTACGGCCAGGCCAACTACACGGCTGCCAACACATATCTGGACGCCTTCGTTGAGCACCGCCATAACCTCGGCCTCCCCGCCTCCATCATCGACTTGGGCGTAGTCGGCGATGTCGGGTACCTACTGGAGCAGGAGCACCTGTTTGAAGGCTTCAAGAACGGCGGCTTCTACTTCTTGACGGAGCAGCAGGTGCTCGACGCAGCCGCCATCTCGGTGGCAAACTCACGCGGCGGACCACTGCGCAGCTTCTGCCTCGGAGGGCTGTCAGAGAAGCCGATGAATGACCCGACCAACAGGGTAAACTGGAAGCGCGACGTGCGGTTCGCGGTGTCTCACCACTTCCACCGCTCCAAAGACTCTTCAGACGCAGCCGACCAGGGCGGCAAGGACGGCGACGAGGCCGAGCGATTCCTGGCCCTCGCCAGGACGGACCCGGAACAGCTGCGCGATGCGGTCACCATCAGCAGCCTGGCCAAGTTTATTGCCGCGGCCCTGGGCAGTCTGATGCTGAGGCCGGTCGAGGACTTTTCGCTGACGGAAAATCTGACGGCCATTGGGCTGGACTCGATCATCTCTATCGAGCTGGTGGACTGGATACAGCAGAAGTTCCATGTCGGCCTCAGCTCGATGGAAATCACGTCCTGCACCTCTCTTTTGCACTTGGCGGAGAAAATCATTGGCGAGTTAACCAAGGCTTGATTTATCTTCGCAGGAGTTATCATGCGATCTTTGTGCTAGGCACAAGATATTACTTAGTATCTCAATACTAGTTGCACACTTGTGTTTTGCCTAATCACAAGCCTCAATCACGAATCAGCTCTGGAGTCCATGAGAGCTATTCATCTCAGAATTGAATGTTCCAGTAATATTACCAGAACAGCTAGCCAACAGCCAATCCATTACCCCATCTAGTTCTAGGCTTTTTTGAAGTCTTGAGGAATTTGAATTTGTGTCAGACTTAGTCTAAGCTCCACTCTGACAGAGGAGAGATGCGTTGACGCCCCCAAAATAAGTCTGCATGTTTGACATGCAGGCTCGGGCCAGAAGAGTGTACAGCCTTACCAATTGCACGACGGCATCACCCGCTTCGAGGGACTAAAATATCCGAGCAAGATTCCATGGCAACGAACGCCCGCCCTGACCATTCTACTTCTCGTGGCCCCGGCGCTGGGACCCCTTTCCTGCCGAGGCTCGACCTGAGCGGGTGCCACCGAGGTCGGCAAAGGCCACCCGGTCGGTGAAGTGGTGATACCATCGGGGCAGGTCCGTTTCGGTTCGTTCAGCAACATTCCGAAGCACGTACGATCTCAAGTGTGAAGCAGTTAGTCGTCGTCGTCGGAACTGAATCTTTGGTTGGGTAGGTAGTCCCCCTTTCCCCGGGTTCCTCCCCCAACGAGACTTCCGCCGCCCCCAGCAGCGGGCAGTCGAGTCAGCTCAATCCGAGCGGTCCGAATGCACTGCGCATGTCCGAAACCCCCTAAGACTTCTTTCCGAATCCGAGCACTATTAACTCTGATCCAGAAGATTTCGGATACGAAGAAAACAACTCAGTCAGCATACATCATTTCCGCCACACTGTCTTCCCTCGGACCGACCACAAATATTCGAGGTGTACTGTTCCCTCGTAGGTGAGTCTACCAGGGAGTTGTCACGGCCCTGTGCCATTTTTTGGAATGAGTGAGTGATGTCTTTGTCCTTTCCTGCTGCTCTTGAAGACAGCTCCACTACTGTCTAGCAGACTTTGACTTCAAGCAAATCATATGTTGACTTGTTATGGCAGTACGACCTTGTTTCCTCATGTTAATATTGTCAACTTAGAGCTGCTAAGGGCGAAGTTTTTCTCTTGACTTTTGATTCTAGCAGTAGTTGACTAGTTGTTTTGGCACCATAATTGCCAAAATACCAATCCGACTTTATTAGTGCATGTAAATGAATCCAGAATTTCAAGATATTTTACGCAGCGGATTCCCTGGTTAATTGAGAATGAGACACAGATATTTGAGTAGTGCAAATATATAACACCAATTGAAAAAATAGTCTGTTTCTTCCATCAAGCCATCAACGCATTCTCAATCTGAGACTGCCGAGTACCTAAGGGATCTATATATCGGGTTGTTCAATTTCCTCAAACACGGTCTGCAAGGGTACTAGCTGATTCGGACTCATTTGATTCTGATCCATTTCAAACCCCTTCAAGTTGTGTAATGATAATACCGAAAGGCTACATACCGGAAGACAGACACCAACAAGTGCCCAGGTATTTGGGGAGATATGCCAATTCTGCAGGTATTGATGAAGGAGACCTATCCATTGTCAAATCAGCCTCTTCGTCTAGATGCTACCGTCCACGCCATTGCCTTGGCCCCCCCCCCTCCACCAACAACAACAACGCTGAGAAGACCAAAGGCACCGCCGTTAAGTTGTACTCGATCATCGGCGGTTATTCCATAAGAAGTTGGCCTATGGAAGGTCATCCCAAAGCAGGTTATCCCATGGTAGATTATCTTATGATAGGTTATCCCAAAGGAGGAAGTCAATATACCACAGGCTGGCATCCCATGGCAAGTTGCAGCAGGTAATCCTGCAGACTGGAAGCCCCATGCTGTTTTGTCGACCAGCCCTTCTGGTGGAATAATGCGAGTTACCATACCAAATGGCCACCCTGAAATTAAATATTTCGAAGGCCTGAATCTCCAGGTAGCTGCTAAGAATGATAACCCCCAGAGGATCAAGAGCATTCAATGCCATTGCCTCGCTGAGAGTGTGGTATCCAGTGGAGACTGGCAAAATTTTAGTTCTACCAACACTTTTTCTTTTCACAACATTGACCAGTGCAGCTTTCTGTGTATCTACAATAAAACTCGATTGCCCCAGAAACTCCATCAACGACCCTTGACATCGATAAAGGTCTAGCCTCCCTTGATTTAAGAGGCAATTCTTCCTGATTTTGCCCTCCACCGACGTGCTATACGAAAGGCAACAGTGACGGTCAAGTGTAATAGAAGAATGGAAGGTCGGTGGATAGGCTCGGAGCCAGTCTCAAAAACCCGAGATGCGAGCATAAGCAAGGCTGGCTCGTGTCGACTGAGGGCTGAAGAAGCTGTTGCTGCCATACGAACTCTAAATATGACCATGGCGTGTTTCCAAGGTGATAAATTTCAACTCCGTAAGATATCACACATTTCAAACAGGTAGAACTATCTGTGCTGTGCTGCACTTGGTTTGTCAGCCCCGGTCCTCGGAGCCAGTTCTCGGAAACCAAGCACCCGTCTGCGCTTTGTCAAGAATTGAGTTCTGGCCCACAACGTTAGAAGAAGTTGTTCCAGTGGCCTATTAAACCATGGAAAAGGCACATTTATGTGATCAGAATCTAAAATACCACGAGGCAGCCTATCAAAACTACACTTCTCGGGCAATTTGAATAGCTTGAACCCTACTGTCTTCTGTTTCTCACCAGAGGCAGACATTACCAACTTGTTCTAAAACCAATTCAAATTTATTGCACGATGTCAGCACCTGCAGCCCATTCCGCAATCACGAACACGACCAAGGAGTCGCTGATGAATCTCCATCTTCCCGATCCTATGGGGTCCACCGTGGGAGGCGGCTACATGGCCTACCTTATGGCTGTCGTATTTCTAGCCTCGGCCTTTGCGGTCTTGTATCGCGATAGAAAGCCTGAGATGGATCGCATGTATCCGGTAGTCAACACGACCAAGGAAGAGTATTTCGCTAACGGCAGGGGAATGGTACAACGCGGAAAGGAGATGTATGGGGACAGCCCATTCCGAGTGTACACGGGGATGGGTAGCGTGCTCATTCTTCCACCCAAGTATGCTTCAGAAATCAAGAACGACAATCGCTTCGATGCGTCCAAGTTCCTGCTACAGGTATCGCCGCGCCATTCTTGCTCCCTTACCTCTTTCAACTCTCTGGAGTGGCATTCTGTTGACAAGCTTCGTCTAGTATTGGCAAGCCGGCATTCCAGGCTTCGAACCCTACATAGCACTTGGCAGCGACCTACTCCACGACGTCATCAAGCTGAACCTCACTCAGAGTTCGATGGCGAAGATGGCGGCTGATCTCACAAGAGGCCGCAGCGGCCCTCGAGGAAATCCTGACTGACAGTGAGGAATGGCACGAGATCGACCTGAACATGACCATGCTGCGCATCACCTCGCAGGTCTCCAGCCTTATCTTCCTGGGCCCAGAGCTATGCCGGAACCCCCAAGTGGCTCGACATCACCGTATCCTACACTGCGAAAGCTACCGGTGCGGCGCGAGTCCTCCGCCAGTACCCTAGATTCATGCACAAGGTCGTTCACTGGTTCCTCCGAGACTGCCGGGATCTCCGCCGCATGGTAAACGAAGCCCGCCAGACGGTGGCGCCTATCTTGCAGAAGCGTCGCGAGCAGAAAAAGGCCCAGAACCCGGCGGGTGTCCAGTTCAACGACTCGCTGCAGTGGTATGAGGACCTGGCCAGCAAGCGCGGCATTTCATACGATGCCGCCACGCAGCAGATCGGACTCTCGATCGGGGCCATCCTCACCAGCACCGACCTTGTTTCTCAGGCCATGATGGACCTCTCACGGAATCCCGATTCGGTGGAGCCGCTCAAGCAGGAGATACGGCGGGTGGTCGGAGATGGCGACTTTAATCCGACGACATTGCATAGCCTCAAGCTCCTGGACAGTGCCTTGAAGGAAACGCTGCGCATTAAGCCTGTCGCGGTCGGTAAGTCAAACACGTTGCATCACAGCTTACACCTGTAACGGGATTCTTGTTGTGTGTTAGACACCACTGACGGTAGCCCACATGCAGTTGGCCTCGGACGCCGCGTGACGGACAACGTGAAGCTGAGCACTGGCGCGGTCCTGCCCAAGGAGTCGGGCATTGCCGTGTCGGCAGAGAGGATGTGGGATGAAAAGGTCTATCCGGAGCCTCTCAAGTACGACATCTACCGATTCTTGCGGGTGCGAGAAAGTGCAGGCGGTGATGGCAACGCGAGGGAGGAGGCGGCGGCACAGCTGGTCAGCACGTCTGAAGACCACTTCGGCTTTGGTTTAGGCACCCATTCATGTCCAGGACGGTTCTTCGGGGCCAACACTGTCAAGCTGGTGATGACACATCTGCTCATGAAGTATGAATTCAAGCCATCTGATGGCACTGTGGTTGAGCCGCTGAAGTTCGGCTTCTCCATGCTGGCTAATCCCTCCACCAAGATGATGGTCAGGCGAAGCAAGAAGGAGGCCGGATGGTGAGGCAAGCGTAACTTGCTTTTGGGTGCAGGAGTTTGTATAATCGAGAAATGCAGTGTGTTGAAAATTTGTGACAACAATGTTCAATGGTGTACTTTTGCTCGCTTGACTTGACCATCTTGTGGAAGGCTATAAGTACCGTGAGGGTTTGAAAGCATGATTATAAAAGCGTTTATCTCCTAAGAGTAGTTTAAAAGGAGGAAATAAAAGAAATCTAGCTATTTAAGTATTTTAAAAAGTGGTTGTAAATTAGGGTTAGGGATATATATATATAATATACCCTTTAATTAAAAGGCAATTCTTACTTTATTAATTACCTTATTTTTTTTAAGCAATTTATTTATACTTAAAAATATTAATTATAGCTTATTAAGTAATTAATTATTTAACCTTTTTTATAATATATATATTTTATTATTTAAACTTTAATTATTTATAACCTTATAATATAGCTTATAATTAATAATTAAACTTTTTTTAAACTTTTTAATTAAATTTATATTTAAAGATATTTATTTTTATTAATTTTAAGCATTTTTTTAATTATATTAAAAATAATTAAAAATAATAAAAAATTAACTTTTAAGTTATAAGTTATTTAACCTTTTTATATTTTTAAGATTTAAAAAAAATAATAAGTATAATTAAATTAATAAAAAGCTTATTAATAAAGATAATAAGAGCTTTAATATTTTTATTAAAATATTGCTAAATAATATGCTTAAAAGTAAGTTTTGTAATTAATTTAAAAATTAATTTTAAAGTATATATTAATTTTTAATATAGCTTTAAAGAATCTTTAAGTATATATAAATAGCTTAAAGTTTAAAATAAAATAGCTTTTTTAAAAAAAGGTTAAAATAAAGTATAAAAAAAAGAAAAAAAATTTAAAGAAATTTAAAAAGATTAATAAGCATTGCATTTCTTATTTTTCTTATATTAAGAGCCTTATATATAGCTATAATAATAATTCCTATATAAATTATAATAATAAAGGTAATTATTATTATTATTATATCTAAGGTAATTCTTATAAATTGCTTTTAATTTACTTTTTATTATTTATATTTTATCTTTATTATACTTAATTTAATAATTTCTTAATATTTAAAAAGTTTTAATATATTTAAAAAAAGCTTTAAATATATATAAATATAAGAAATTTAATTATATTTACTTTAATTATATTTTTATAATTCCTTTTAATACTTAAAAGATTTTTACTTTATAATAATAACTTTTAAAAGTTATAAAGAATAAATATAAGGATATAATAAAATGCCTTAAAGCTTAAATTATAATTATTTTAAAATAGCATAATAAGATTAATATAAAAGCTTAAAAGCTTTAAAATTAAGTTATTATTAATTTAAAAATTATAAAAAAGTATTAAGATTATATTATTATTAAAGTTAAGTTTTTTAATTTTAAGAATAACTTTAAAGAATAAATATTATTAAATTTTAATTTAAAATTAATTAAGAATTTAATTAAAGATTAAAAAAGTTTTTTTAAAAAAGTTAAAAAATTATTATAATAATTAAAAAAAGGTTTTAAATTAATTAATTTATTATTATAAAGATTAAAAAATAGTTTTTAATTATAAAATAATGTTTATATAAGGGTTATATTATAATTTTTAAAAAGTATAATTTTTAAGATTTTTAATAAAAACTTAATAATAAAAATAATTAATAAATAAATTAATTTCTTTTTATTAATTTCTTTATATTTTAAAGATTTAAAAAAGCTTTAAAATATTTAAATTAAGTATATAATAAAATTTTAATAAATTTATTTATAAGTATGTTTTTAATTTTTAAGTATATAATATTAAAAATACCCCTTTTAAATTCTTATTTTAATTATATTTATTAAATATTTATATATTTAAGCCTTATTTTTAATTATTTATATTTATTAATAATTAAGTATATAATTATTTAATTATTATAATAAATAATTTAAAGCTTATTTAAATTTAAGATTATATTTTTAAATAAATATTTTAAAGTTATTATTTTTTTAATTATAAATTTTAAAGTTAATAATTTAGCTTTAATAATTAAAGTAAAAATAATTATTTAGTTATATATTTTTTAATATATAAGGCTTTTAAAAAGAATTATTATATACTTTTAAAAGAATATTTAATTCTTTTTATTATTAATAAATAAAGCATTTTTAATTATTAAAAGTATTTAAGCTTTTAAATTTTCTTTATATTATAATTTAAAGAATTAAATAATATATAAATATTAAATTATATAATTTATTATTTTAAGATAATTTAAACTTAAGTTTATAAGAAATCTTAATAATTTAAAGTATAAAAATATTATATTTAAGTATATTATAATTATTATATAAAGAATAAAATTAACTTTTTCTTAAAAATCTTAAATTTCTTATTTTAAAGCTTATTTAAAAAAAAAGCTTAAGTTTTTTTTTAATTATTAAAATAAATAATAAAAAGTTTTTACTTTTTAATAAATTATATTTATTTATTATCTTTTTAATATATAAGTTATAAAAAAGTATTATAATATACTTTTTTTAATTTTTAAAAATTTATATACTTAAGAATTATTAAGTTTTTTTTTAATTCTTTATTTTATATATAAATTAAATCTTATTTTTAAATTTTTATAAAAGATTTGCTTTTATCTTTAAAATATATAATTAAAATATTATTTATATAAAAAAGAATTATTACTTTATAAGCTAAGTTAATAAAAAAGCATAACTTTTTTTATAAGGGTTTTAAGCTTAAATTTTATAATATATAATTAAAATCTTTATATTAAAGAAATAAGAAATCTTTAACTTTATAAAATATCTTTAAAAGTATTTTATATTTCTTTAATTTTTTAAATTTATTAAGTAATTTATAATAAATTAAATTTAACTCTTTTTAATTAATATTTAAGAATATAATTATAATATTAAATTATTAAATCCTTAAATTAAAGTATATAATAATTATTATTATTATATAAAATAATTTTATAATTAAGATTATAATATATATGCTTTTTATAATAAAATAAAATTATAAATTTCCTTAAATATAAATTTATATCTTAAAAAATTTAATTATTTTATCTTTATTAAGTTTATATTTATATATTTATTTTAAAAGTAATAATATTAACTTTACTTTTTAATGCTTAATAATTCTTTAAATATTAAGCTTAATAAGGTTTTATATTTCTTAATATATTATTTTAAATTATTTATTTTAAAAAAAGCTTTTTTAAACCTTTTTTATATAATTAATTTTAAAGAAAAACTTTTATAATATTATTATATTAAATAAGGTTTAAACTTAATTTTAAAGGCTTAAATAATAATTATTATTATATTATTTAAGATTAAAAAGTATAAATTTTTAAGTATTTTTTATTTTTATTTTTTAAATTAATTAAATAAAAATATAATTATAAAGTTACTTTAAAAAATTATATTAAGATAAAATATAATTATATTTTATAAATATAATAATTAATTAAAGGATTTTCAAAGTATTTATCTTAATTATATATTTAAAAAAATCTTCTTATAAGTTTAAATTCTTAAATTTATTCTTATATTTCTTTTATTTTTATTAATTAAAAAGATTTTTAATTTCCTATAGCTTTAAATATATATAATTTTTAAAAAAAAGGTTTAAATTTATTAGCCCTTTCTTTATTAATAAAAGTATATTTTTCTTTATAAGAATTTTATTTTAATATATTTAAGGTTTTCTTAAGAGTTAAAAGTTTTTATTTTAATTTTTAAAGCTTATTAAAAAAGTAATATATAATAAATTTTATCTTTTTTTAATATAAAATAAATATTAAATTTATTATTTAAATTAATTAAATTATTTTTTATATAAAATATTAAGAGTATAATATAAATATAATTTTAAATCTTCTTAATATTAATAATTTTAATATTTAATAATTTTATTTTAAAAGTTAAAAGATTATTTTGTATTTTATTTATTATTAATTTATAAAATATATTCTTATTAAATAATATATTTTTTATAAAGATTATTTACTTAAATAAAGGAATTTAAATTTAAAAAATATTAAATGCTATATAATTAATTAAATATTTAATATAAGCCCTTAACTTTCCCTTTATAAGGCATTTCTTTATATTATTTTTATATTTCTTTTTAAATATATATGCTTTATATTTATAAGTATAAATATTACTTTAATAAGGTAATAAATAAATTATAAAATAATAAACTTAAGTTAATTTAAATTATTAAAAATAATAAAAGATTATACATATAAAAAAATATTTAAGGCACGCCCCTTTTTTCTTAAAGTAAGTAAAATATTATATAATTAAGCTATAATTTATAATATTTTTAATTAAAAAGTAAAAAGTAAATTAACCCTTAATAATATAATTAAAATATATTTAATTATTATTTTATTAACCTTTTTTATAATATTATTTACTTTTAAGGTTTAAAGAAAAGTAAATTTTAAATTAATACCCTTTTATTTTACTTATTTAATATATTTAATATTTATAAATTAATTAATTATTATAATCTTAGCATTTTATTTAATTTTATAAATATTTAAATTATATTATTATTTTACTTAGCTTTTATAAATATAAATAATATTAAATATTTATTTTTTAGTTTTTAATATAAGGAGAAAAATATAAATAAGTCTTAAGAATTTATTTATTATTATAAGCTTATAATTTAACTTATTTAATACTTATAAATAATAAAAAAGACTTTATAAAATTTAAAAAATAATTTTAAGCTCTTACTTTTTAATAATTTATATTAAATTACTTTTTTAACAAAGGCTTTAAAGTAATTTTTATAATTAATTTATTTAATTTTTATAATTTTTATACTTTAAATATATTAAATTAATAATTTAAAAGCATTAACTTTTAAATATTAAATTTAAATATTAAATTTTTAAAAGGTTTTATAATTTTAATATTTTATTTAATTTTTAAAAATTTTTAAG